AACAGTTCGAATTACCTGACTACTCGTAAGTTAAACTTTAAGCAATCGTGTCACACTCGCCAGAGCTAATATTCTGTCCACAGAAAGAAATTGGTGGTGGTAATGGGAAAATGTGGATGCAAAAATGCGGATGGGAAAATGCGGATGGAAAAATGCAGATGAAAAAAAGAAGTTACGGCAAAAAAATTACGGCAAAACAATACATATATATATATGACATATATATATATATATATATATTTTAAAAATAATTATAAAAAAAATTAAAAAAAATAAATTTAAAGAAGAATAAGAAGTACAACTTATACAGCGGCTAAAGGGGAAAAACTAGCAACAACAATTTGTCTCATATAAAAAGACTATTAATGCAAAATAACGAGAGACACCCCTTAGAAAAAAACAAAACAAAACAAAAAAACAAGCATTTGTGATTTAAAAAATATTGTTTGCCGTCTCGTCTCGGGACTGTTTGTTCATCTAAAACCTTAACTGTGCTGAACACAGCAAAGGAAATTGAATTAGATTTTTTTAGCCGTTGGTCATAAGAAAGCGGCTAAGATCTTAAAATAAGAGATTTGATTTAAGCCATGTTTCAATGAATTGAAGCAGCTTTTATGATTTTTTTGTGTCTTTAACCATAAAAACGGGAGCAACAACATGTTTTATACCGAATGTAGCAATCGCCGTCGCTTCGTCAAAATTTCTAGAAAAAAAGCCATTAATATCTTAAATTATTGAAAAGATATTGTTTTCAGCACACGCATAAAGTCTGATTATAATGTCATAGCATTATCAGCTGGAAAAAAATCGCTCACCGTCAGCATCGTTTACGTTTCATTATACAGTGGAGCCGCGATTTAACGACCCTCTATATACTTGAACGAAGGCCTTGGTATAACGAACGATACTCAAGTTTCAACCCGGCTAAAGTTACAGTAAAATGTATGCCACAGAACCTTGATATAACGAACCCTCGATATGACGGACCAATTTCCCCAGTCCCTTGGCGCTTCGTTAAAACGAGGTTCCACTGGAGGCAAACACCTTTTCGACAAGCTGAACCCATGACGTGCGGTGTCGCTTATTTCGCAAATCTCTCTTTCAGTTCGTTCTCTAACAGTGTGAACCCCTTTCATTTTTTAAAATCTCAGAATGCCTCCAGAGGGACAAATTGTTGTTATCGGTTTTGAGCTTTTATATCCCGAACTCTGTAATAACTAGAGGACGACCACTCAGGTGCTCGAGTGACGTATGAGCTAGGTTTAGCGGGGACAACAGAAAGCGTTAACGCCAATACATGCTAAAAGCGTGCAGTGCCATTTAGAGCTACGTTTGTCGTTTATAGTTTACAGAGCATGTTGCGTTATATTAAAAGGACTTCTCTGATTGCCTTTCATTTTACCGTTTTCTGCTTTAGTCTGTGGACAAGTTCTCGTAGAAAATAGGAGGTATTCTTGATCCTGCTATTTAAATTTTGAGAATAATTTTTAACAAATGGTAAACACCACAGCATACACTATTGAGTTATGGATGCACGCGGGAGGTTGCTAAGCGCGAAAGAAGCGTAAGAGTCGCGCGAGGAGATAGCCGAGAGCGACTCTAGCTTCTGGAGTGCTTAGCAAACCTCCCACGTGCATCCATAACTCAGTAGTGTACACTGTGGCGTTTACCATTTGTTTTATAACATAACATTGATACATTGTAGCAAAAGAGTTTTCTTTCATTTAACAAATCTTACGTGACCAGAAAAACAAGCGCGGGTGGAAAACTATTCTTTGCGTTTGCTCACGTCAGCAGCATACACCCATGGGCAAATGGTGGACGCTGAATTGACCAATCAGAACGCGCGCTTTACATTGGTTATGTTATAAAAATATTTCGTATCACAGTAAAAAGTTCCAGTTATTGTTTTTGCGTCAAGTTCCAAAAAAACAGTAGCATTTCTTCTTTAAATTTTTTTGGATAGTTTTTTTTTTCCATCCGCATTTTTCTATCCGAATTTTCCCATCCGCATTTTCCCATTCGCATCCGCCATCCGCAGGTATCCGGTCTGCCTTTTACACACACTCGAAATTGGTCCTTGTCTACCAGTTTATTTGCGAAAGAACATTATTTACTTTTTTCACGGTAAATGGTGTAGAATCCTTTTTGATCACACTCTTCACTGCAGCTCGTAACTCGTGCATTTTCCAGAAATACAGAAAAGGATTCCACGACGAAGGCATGAAAGCTAATGTTCGAGTTATGTCATAAAAGGCCTCGACTTCGCTCGTGAAACCCACACGCACATAAGCGAAAAGTACACAAGTAAAAGGAAGGTACGATACCATGTATAAACCGGATACGTACGCCATATTAATGACAGATTTTTTGAACCTCTTAACATCAATGGACTGGCTTCTCGTAGCCGCGGAACTCTGGGCCTGTATCTGAAGGAAATGTCGGCGAACCTGTTTGTAGATTTTCCAGAAAGATAATAACAACGTGAAAACTGAAAGCAACAGACCGACAATATTGATGAACAAGAATGTCTTTACATTCTTCACGGCGAATCTCGAAAAACTTAGACCTCCTGTGCTGATTACGAGTTGGAAAAGAAACATCTGGATTCTTCGCGTGGTGACAACCTCGGGGTACCTGAGGTGATAGTGGAGCGCGAGATAGCGCTCTCCGGTAATGCCAGCAAATAGCGCGCACGACATCGCAGCCGAAAACCAAGCGACTATCTCCGTGATGATCCTACATGTGCACGAGGTAGAGGTATGTCCGAGGAGATAGGCTATCTTGTAGGCTCCGTAAAACGGCTGAACAATTAGTCCTGTGAGAAAGTCAGCGAACGCCAGGCACCATAAAAGCAAGTGAGATTGCGAACGCAGATTGTCTGACTTAAAGAAAGTGAGAATGATAACAGCATTTCCCGAAGTGGCTATCAGAGAGCAAAACAAATTTATCGCCGTAGTGACCACTGACTCCACATACAGCAGTTCTCCAGGTTTGTAGTCGTTCAGTGGGTCCAGAAAGAAACATTTTGGGCTTGTTGACTTAGTTGAAACACTTGCGTTCCTGGTAATATTCTGGTAAATAGAAACTTCGTCGATCATTTTCAGTTGAAAGTAGCTTTAGAGCGCCACAATTAAGCTGCTGCTCCCTGAATTCACTGTTAAAGGTAAGAACGAGGAAAAACAAGGCTACTGTGAGCGAGCAGAACCTGTCACATATTGTGACAGTAAGAGGTAGTCTGCCTTATCGTACTGTCATCTTGAATTGCTCATTAGATATAGTCGAGGCAGCTGTTATCAACTTTGGAAAACATTTACATTTAGTAATGATTATTCATCCCTCTCGCGGCTGCTCTATGGAGCCTTGGATACGAATTATTTTCTTAATTTCAACTGAGATGATGGAGCGTATGTCTTTGTTTGCCATAACTATAGGGAAAATTCGCTTTAATTTCACTTTCCAAAATTGCCGAAATGCTCGCCCCTTGTCGATTTTGAATTAAATCGAGCGTGGCTTTTGGAAGCGACATTAACTACACTTTGTGGCATCATAACAAGCTGGATATAATTTCAGTTTACCTATTGATTGACTCAGTTCATTAAGCTTTTCTTTGTACCGAACGTACCTCGAATTTTTAATTCCCGTAAGTTCCCAACCCATGGATGGGAATATTGTCAGATGTAAAACAAGAAGTTATCGAGACCTGCTATACGTGCATTTTAACGGAGATATCCTAATGATTATCCGTGCTTTCTCGATTCAGCCAAGCTTTTCAATACAGGCCAAATAAATTGTCTGTTAAAGGTTCTTTATTGTTATTGTAATGCACACATTTCCTTTAATTTTTTATTACAGGGATAGAAACAATAATCTTTGAGGCAAAAAGATTAGTATTTTAAAATCCCAATTTGTTAAATACATGCTATTTAAAGCTAAAACCTGTCTCGTCGTTTTCAAAGTAATATTACTTTTAAGTTCCAAACTCCCCAATAAGTGTAATTTAGCTATCGAAAGCTTTTGACCTTGCCGGTACATTTTAGATTAAAATATTTACGTGCATTTTAGATCTCAGGTATTTGAATTCAAGCCGAAAGAATCGGTGGAAGTAAGCGCTCTATTGTTTTTACAATGTCTATAAGCCATTGGTGAGAAGCATGCCATTGTTGAGAGGCATAAAGCTGTAATTTACCAAATGAAGAAGTTAGGCATTAAGAAAAATGAACGGTTCATTTACTTGAACAAGTCTATTAGTTTAGCTAGGTTGTGGGTGCCAATGTGAAATAAGAAGATGCTATTGTCAAAAATTGATTCAAAAGGTAATCTGAACGGGTGCATTCATCGTCTTGAAGGGGTGACACTGTGGACGGTAACTCAAAACTATTGTGGATGTTTTGGAGTGAGCGATGTTTAATTAATGGTGCGTGCACCAGCCCAAATGCTTAATTTTTGATGGGCGCTAACGAGTTTTTAATCACACAGGCCGATTCTGGAGCAAGGTAAGAAAATGCAAAACAAAAGAATATGAAGACTTTTATTCACCTCCATTAATGGAAGACTTAATTTCAGCTTAAGACTGAGGATTATCTCCCTCCAAGAATATTTCCATCAGCTATTTCCGTCGAGAATTACTTGCAATGCATTAGTTATGTCGGCTTTCCTTGAAGCAATTTTCAAGGAAAGGGAATTAAATGCAATTCAGCGTAATGAGAAGGTTGATGTAAAACACAGAAGCTGTTGTGAATTTTTCCTTGCTTCAATCGTGAGACGAAGGGAAAAAACGTGACTACCCCAGTGAGAACCTATCTGCGATGCGATCATTAAAATGTTTTGGTGGGATGCTCTTAGACTAGTACTTAGTAAATGGGGAAACTGCTGTGGGAGCAGTTTTGTCCTAAGTGTCGAGCTTCTGTGCTCTCAAGAAAGATGTTGAATTCGAAGCATTCGCGTAAAAGAACTGCTTACTTCGTCACCGCGTTCGTAATTGACCACAACAACACAAATAAAGTGAAATTAACCTTTTTTTTTTCGATAATGGCTACAAGAAGTACTGCTAAAAGTTGTAAATCAAACCAACGATTAAAAATGAAATAAATAAATAAAAACCGACAATGCTGATAACATCTAATTCATGTGACAATTCACACAGAATTATTTCCGGTTCAAGTCAATTTGCGATTTCACTTTTAAAATACAAATTTTACAATGTCGCTCAAGTTGCTCAAAAGGGGAAACTATGAACAGTAACGTACCTAGAAAAGTTAACATCTATTTATAGCGTTAGACTCCGAGAAGACAATCACATTTCTTCAAACAAGGAATATCCTTACATAGAGCGACAATAACACCAGGAACATCAACGAAACCTTTTCCATCGCTCGGCCAGTCGATTGGCAGCAATATGACAAATCAATGTATTGTTGAGGTTGTTCGTTTAGTATTCATGGCAACCTTTGTGCTCTTCGCATCGTTTTGTTCTCTTTTTCCCACTTTTTCTTCTTTTTGTTTTTATTTCTGGTTTTAAATTCCATACCATCGGTTACTATTTTCTTAAATATTTGCATATTTTGAGAAGTCTCGGCAATAACCTTTTAATCTCCGGATCTAAATGCCAATTCTCGGAACTGACTGCCATATATCTCCTTTAATTCTAGCTTTGACAATTTGCCGTAAAATCATACAGCTACTCCTTATCTCTGATTGATATTTTACCCTTGTTATCACCTGCGTCAAAAAAGTGTTGCAGTGATACGAAAATGTTATCCAGTGGTTTTAAGGGAGTTTCTGGCCTTCTTTCTCTCTTTGATCTCAAGAGCGTACTCGTCAGACACCTTATAGGTCTTCTCTGTCTCTAACAATTGCTTCATCTTTTCTACTTCCAGTTGTAAAGATCGGTTTCGAGTAGATTCTCGCCTGAGCTTCTCCTTGAGCTGATCTACTGAGCCCTCCTTCCATTGCAGAGCATAGATTCCAGCTTGAATGGCTACCAGTGCTATAACTAAGTACGATTGAAGAGCGATGGAAGCGGCTAATATTGCACAGTTGACAGCAAATAGCGTTATTGACCTCCATCGAAATCGTGTCCTCCTTTTAGGGAGCTGTGGCTTTTCTTTTTCTAGCTCTCTTTTCTTTTGCTCTTCTAGCTGATCTTCGGCGTAATCGGCTAGCTCTTGTGCGGCACTGCACAAATCATCCGTCATTTCGTCGTCCTCGTCTTCGTCAGCATTGATCTCTTTCAACGTTTTTATCATGGTGTTATAGAATTTTGCTCTCGCTAAAGCCTTCTCTTCGGCTTTGGACCTTACAGCAGCCTCAAGCTCTGTGGCCTCTTTTGCTTTAGGTGCTTGTTTTGAAATGATGTTTTGCATTCCTTCCATCTCTTGCAGCTGCCAAATAAGCTTTGCCAGAGTAGTGCGCTTTTCCTTCCTCTCTTGCTTTTCTTTTTCTATCTCTTTCATGAGCATATCAATTGCTGACTTTTGGGACTTCACAACTTCAAACTGTCTATCCAAGAGCTCAGTCATCTCATCCATTTCTTCGTTTTGCTCGGCAAAGTTTTGTCTTTCATCTCGCAGCATCTGTGATACCTTCTTTTTGGAGTACCACGCATTAGCGGCAACGGTTATCAATATAAAGAATATCACAAAGGGCGCCAAGAAATGATAACCGGCCAGCTGACATAGTAACACAGAAATTGCAATGCAAATAGGAAGAACCGAGACAGGCAGGTTTACAATTTTAATCCCATATTCTCTTGCCTCTTCAGCGGCGGTTGCGAGTTTTTCAAGTTCTGCGATTTTGGCTTGTCTATCATCCATTTCTTTTTCGCGGAGTCGTTTCATATGATCAATCTCCTCTTTCAACATTTTGTATTCATCATATCCCCTTCTCATTTTTTCGGCCTCGAAGAGTTTTGTTTTCTCGATCTCCATTTTCATTCTGGATTCAAAATCTTCTGCTTCTAATTTTCTCAGCTTATTGGACATTTCCTCCTTGGTCGCCATGATCTCTTCGCTTTCTACCCGCTTCGCTTCTTTGTCAGCAATTTCTTCTTCAAGTTGCCTCTTAAGCTCTGCAATTAAGCTTACGTCTCCTTCCTGAAGTAGTTTCATTTCCTCGATTTTTTCAAGAAGCTCCCTCTTTTGTTGTTCCATCGTGGAAAGCTGATTCTTTAAACTTCCGTCGGAGATACCAAGCATTGTCCTCTTGAACCGAGAAATAAACAGCAGAATCAAAACAGTAGTCAAGACACCAGCCATCAGGGTATTTGATACTTTTAAGGTAGCTCCAAATGCTATAGCACTAACAAGGGTAGCAAAAAGGAATAAGGCAAACAATTTTTTCTTGCTAAAAGTTGAACAACTTCGAGTGTCATCCAGGTTTCTGTGATGAAGAGTATCTGCTTCAAAACACAACTGTTTATTTCCTTCCACAGAGACAGACTCTGGGCTGCTTTCATTGTTTACGGTGAAAGCTGCTCCATGTGTCGTTCCCACCAAATCAGGTAGAGGCAATGACTGTTCAAGACTGGTTTCTCGAGTTTGAGGAATGATTTCTTGAGACTCCGCCACTGAATCTGAGGGTAGTTCGCTCTTGAAACTTGCCACATTCTCTTTGATTTCCAACAGTTCCTTTCCGTATCGGTTTTCGATGGAGTTCAGTAACATCTTGAGTCGTCTGAGCTTCTTCTCTTTCTCGTCAATTTGCAGTGACAAAACGCCGCGCAGGCTGCTACGCCTCTTAAGATAACTCTTATCATTTTCGTGCGGCAATTTTGCGCTTTTGTCATTTTCTTTCAGGGTCTGGGCCATCTGCTGATGACCACTGATTTCCTCTTGAAGACAATCAATCTGTTGCTGAAGGTCGCTTACCATTTCAATCGCCGTACTAATGTCTTCCTTGCCCTTTCGAGCTTTCTCTGCGTTTTTAGCTGCGTCCTCTCTCTCTCGTTCTGCCTTCAACCCTTGATAGATAGACTTCATTATCTGAAGAGACACCTGCAATTCCCTTAGCTCAGCTTCTTTCTTGATCAGTTTGGATTTATATTCATTGTCCATGTCTTGGATAATCTTTTCTTTCTGCGTCAAAAATGACCTTAATTTCTGAACTTCATTGTCATCCTTTACTATCTTTGTTTTCTCTGGAGGAGGAGACGCCACTTTGTCCTTCAGCTCCTTAATGTACCTGTTATTCTCATTCAACTCCCTTCTAAGGTTTTTGGCCTCAGTCTGAGCGTCTTCCACCAAAAACTTTTTCATTTCAACGTCTGTTAGAAGAAGATGATATGACGACTGAAGCTTCTTCAGTTGGCTTTCTGCTTTTTCCGCTCTGTCTCGTGTCTTCTTGAGAGAAAGATTTTCATCGGTAATTTCTCCTCTTTCAGCCACTTTTTGGCGAAGAAAAGCTAACTCGTTTAATTTGTAGTTAATAACTTCCTTTACATTGTCCACCTCTTCTCTTAAGCTGCTAAGAACCTCTTTTGAATTTCTCTCTTTGATATATCCTTCACCATGACGAGGAATTGCGTCGGTGGTGTCACCACCTCGCACCTCTTGTACATTCCTTTGTTCTTCTTTTAAGGAGAAATTACCCGCTTCTCCATCCAGCTGTTTTCTTAAATCTTTCACTTGATCAAAGGTCTCTTTAGTAAAGTCGTCTTTTTCTTGGTGAAGTGTCTTTAAGGTCCTAATCTCTTTATCTAACTCTTCAATCTTATCCACTTGTACCTCACATAAGTCTCGAAGTTTGATAATTTCCTCTTGCCGTGCTCGATTCTCTCTCAACCGTTCTTCGCATTGCTGTGTAGTTACATGCAGTCGCTCGTATCCCTCGTTCACCTTGTCTTCCAGTGATTTCACCTGCTCATTTTGATCCCGATTTAGTTTCTGTTGCTCAGCTAGTAAAACTTCAAAAGATCGGCTTCGGATTCGTTCGTTTTCTAGCTCATCTCGAAGCATCTCGGATTCTTTTTCATTTGTGTCGTTCTTGCTCTCGAAGAACCTCATTCTATCTTCGGCAGCTCGCAGTTCAACGACCCTTTCTTCGTTTAATTTTCTTTGATCCTCAAATTTCCTGTTCGCGTCTTCCAGCAGCATTTCTTTCTCTTTAAGTCGCCTCTTGCGGTCCTTCGATTTGAGTTTGACGTTTCTTTTCGTATCTCTTCCTGCCAATATTTTTCCGAAAAGATCGTCATAGGGACTGTTCTCGACTGCATTTAATACGCTTTCCTGAGCCCTCACGTAAGGTTCCGATTTTAATTCTTGCACACGCGGTTCCTTCTCCTCGTCAGTAGAGCTTTGGCTGTCTTCCATATCTTTAGTAAGTTCATCAGCCAGCTGTGACAGCCAGAAATCTCTTTGTTCGACGGATCTCTGCAATTCTTGCCTTGAAGCGTCTCTCTCCATAACGATTAATTTTTCTGCTTCAAGCATCGATTCAAGCTCTTCAGCTTTCTTTGCCTGGATTGCGATTTTCTCTTCTACTTCATATTTCATCTCCTCGGCGAGTTTCCTTTCCACTTCCTTTCTGTTAAACTCTTCCTCACGACTTGTCCTTAGCAAGTCATGTAAATCACTGTTATTCTGCTTTTCTGATTCTAGCTGACCCTGCAGTTCCTCTTTAGTTATGCGCACATTAAAAAGTTGTCCCTCCAGCTCAGTCAAAACGTTGTCGCGTCGAACTGTCTCATTTCTCTCCTGATGAAGTAGTTCATCCAGCTTTCGACTTTGCTCTCGTTCCATCTCGATAGTTTTCTTGAGCTCTTCGAAAATCTCACTGTCTTGTGCTACTTGAGACTCCAATTCACGCACTTTATCCTGAAACATCTGAGCTGTCATTTTTTCGTGGTCGTGCCTTTCTGCAATTTCGCGATTCCTCACCACCTCAACATCAATTTTGTTTCGAAGTTCCTGGAAGAGAAGTTCATCTTTCGCAGCTGTTTCTTCTAGTTCTTTAATCCTCTCCTCCATTTTGGCCTTTGAAAACCTTTCGCTCCCTAAATTTTCTACATAACCCTCTATCCGTTTCCTCTCTGTCGCTAGGTCGGTGACTAGACTACTAATCTCTTCTTCTTTCTCTCTCTTCATTTTCTCTGCTCGCTCCAACTTCTCCAGGATCTCGAAGTGTTTTTCGTTCCCTTTTAAGCTATTTTCTCGCAAAAAATCTATCATTTCTTTATCCGAGCATATCACTGATTCTGCATCTTTAAGCTTTGCCTCCAACTCGACTATTCGATTCTGCTCGCATTGCAATCTTTCCGACAAAATCTTGTAACACTTTCGTTCTGTGTCTAAATCAGATTTAAATTCATCTATTACTTTTTCTTTCTCTTTTGCGTCGTCTAATTGCTCTCTCAATTTATTTTCCATTTCATACACCAGACTCTTGTCCCTACACAACAGTTCCTGAAGATTTTCCTTAGCTTTCCGCTCCTCGGAAAGTTTTGATTTTACTTTGTCAAGTTCTCTTTCAAATTCTGATTTCAAGAGCTGCTCAAAAGACAATTTTTCTCGTAGCTGTTTCGTCAGCTGCAGTTCTTCTTCTAAAGCTTCCTTCGACTCGCTCAACTTATGCTGTTCTTCATTAATTCGGTCTCGCAAATGTTTCATGGCCTCCTCTTGTTCAACCCCGCGGACTTGTTCTTGAGTCAGAGCCTCACTGACTCTAAGCGTTCTATCTTCCGCCTCTTCGATAAGCTTGCGTAGCTCTTCACTTCTCTCGGACTCTCTTCTCAGTTTTTCTGTGAGGTTTTCGATCATGTTTTCTTTCATTGCCGAGTGGTTTCGCTCGATTTCTAGGCGCTCGTTCAATTCAAAGACTTGATTTTGTTCCTTTTCTAGGAAAGACTTCAGCTCGTCTAAGACATCACGTTGCGTTAACATTTCCTTTTCCAGTTCTTTGATTCGCATTTCTTTTTCTGATTTGTCTGCGGCAGATTTATCAGCCGTCTTTTGCATCTCTTGTTCAGTGTGCACGCGAATTTCGTCCAGCTTTGTCTTGCTTTCTTGAAGATTATCTGCCATTTCCCTTATAACTCGCTCTTGTAAATCAAAATTTTTCTCTTTCTCCTCTGTCAGCTCTTTTTCTAGCCTCTGAATTGTTCCTTCAGTTTCACGAATTTCCACTTGAACCGTTATAATCGTCTTCTCCTTCTCCTTAACTTCCTCCTCTAGTTGCTGAATTTTATCGAGAAGCCTTTCTTTGGCCATCTCCTCTTGTTGAAGACTGATAACTAAATGATCAATCTTTACCTCGCTCTTTGCTACTGCCGCTTTCAGCTCATCTCTTTCGACTTCCCATGGTCCTCGTTTCACCTTCTCCTCTTTTAAGTTGTCTCTTATATCGCTCATAATTACTGAAAACTCGATATTCTTCTTGAATACTTCATCCAACTTAGCTTGCAATTCTTCGATCCTTTGAGCTTCCTCTGAAAATATAGTTTCTAACAGCTCTTCGAAGTGTGATAACTGCTTGCTTAACTCATGCTCAGGCATGAGTCGAACAAGTTTAGTAGGACTTTCTGGCCTGCCATCAGCTTGATCACCATCTTCGTCTGGTCCAAGTTCACCACTTAACTCCTGGTATCTCTTCCTAATTTCTCCAAGCTCTCGTTTCATATCTTCTACAAGGTTATCGTACTCTGTAGATTTTCCCAATAGATCATCAATATTCCTCTCGTGCTTCTTTGTTCTGTCCGTCTGAGTTCTCAATTCGGCTCGTATACTCTTGCTGGTTTCCTCCACGGCACTCATGCTAGCCTTGAGCTCTCTGATAAAAGAGCTATGAGAAGCGAGTCGCTCGTTGATTCTTTTTACTGAAACATCGGAGGAGCTCCTGCGATGAGACTCGTGCGAGCCAGGAGACATGCAGTGTAAATGCCGGTTGATCTTATCTACCTTTCCCTTAATGTCGTTAACGGTTTTCTGATATTCCTCGACTCTACGTTTGAGATCCTTTGTGGCTTCCTTCTTTTCCTTGGATTGGCCTTTCTCAGATGACAGCAATTCTTCAATGGTCGAAGCACGCAGTCTCTCCTTTTCTACTTGCATTTCTAAGTCCCTGATTAGTTTTTGACCGTCTTCTACCTTTTTTGCCATCTCCTCAGAATGTTCAAGCTGCTGTTTGACCTTATCTTTCATGGCTTGTAGCTGCGCCGAAAGCTCTTCGTTTCTTGCGATATCTCTTTTGCTGGCTTGATTTAAGGTCTTGATGAGGTTATCCCGGTCTTTTACATGTCTCTGCTCAGCTCTTAGTCTTCCTCGAAGATCTTCTACAATCTCTTCTAATTTAGCAAGTTCGCTTCGGAGGTTTTTCCGTTTCTGACCCTTGTACTTTTCTTTCTTAGCATCTAGTTCTTTTCTAGTCTGATTCACTTCCTCTGCTCTTACATCGTCTGATTCATCCGCAGCTGTAATTTCATCTTGTAGCTTCACCATTTCCTCTAGTTGTTGTATCATTTCCTCGTACATGATATTTTTCTCCTTTTCGCCATCTAGAATCTCTAAAAGCTCTTGCAATTCCGCTTCTCGTTCTTCTAGTTCTTCATCGAAGTCGAAATCTTCAAGCCGTTCAGAGCGGTCACGGTTGAAGCCAAGCCCTTGTTCAAGCTGTCCAACATGCTTGGCCACTCTGTCCTCCTCTTCAATCCCTTTTTCACCAGTCCCAAGTACAGATGCTTTGATCCTCATAACATTGCGCATTCGTTCAATTTCATCCCTGAGATACCTTATAATCTCAGATTTTGTCTGACTATCCATTTTGGACAGCCCTAACTGACCTTTCAGCTGTGCTACATCGTCCTTGAGCCTCTGCTCCTCGACAGCATAGCTCGAGACAAGTTCTTCGATGCCAAGTTCCTTCTCGTTGACATTTTCTTTCAGTTCTTCTATAATGTTGAGAAGCTGCTCATTTTGCTTCTCTGCTTCCATTATGTTCTCGATGGAGCTTGATTTAATACCTTGGTTGTACTGATTTAAAGCATCAGCTTCAGAAAGCTGTTCCTCGAGCTCTTGGATAACACGTTGACTCTCCATGTTTTTCTTACGTTCCTCTTCAATTTCTCCCGTGAGTTTCGAGATTTCATTTTCTTTGTGGACACTTTTTTCTCTCTCTCTTTGTAATTCGTTCTCTGCCAGTTCAGCCACTTTTGTAATTTCGCTGTTCTCTGATTCTGTTAGATATATCTTCTTTTCAAGCATGTCACATTTTAATGAGTATTCATTCTGGACTGAGCGTTCTGAGTCAAGATTAATCAAAGCTTGCTTCAGCCTTTCCTCCTTTTCTAGCAAAGTTCTGTCTTTTTCTTGAAGAATACCTGACAACAAGTTATTGTTTTCTTTAATCCACTCTAATTCTTTCTCCACGCTTTCTAGTTTTTCTTTGGTGTCTTTTAGTTCTGCTCTGATATCTCTTATCTCGGTCTCCTTTTGTTGTAAGGCATCTTCATTTTGAACCATTCTGTTCTGGAGTTCCACAATACTTTGCTCGTTGCTTTCGTTTCTTTGTTTTTGAGCTTTAAGTTTTCCTTTAACTTCTTCATAATCGCTTAGTTGAGAGCGAAGTTCTTCGATTATTTCCACTTTTTCTTTAATGGTATTCAGTAAGGTTGCGATTTCCTCTTGTAGAAGCTCTATCCGTTTAAGACCAAGCTCACTTTTTGTTTCCTCTTCCTCTACTTTATGTTTAAGTTTAGAAACTTCCATCTCCATATCAAAGTTGGCCTTCTTCTCGTCACTGATAGCATCCTGGAGCTCCCCGACTCTACCTCGTAGTTCCATTACCCTTGCTCTTTCTTCAGCAATGTCTTCATTCAAAGCTTTATTTTGAGATTCAAGATCTGCAGCCAGTTTTTCATTTTCGTCCAGTAAGTTACGTATTGTATCAATTAACTTTCCTTGCTCTTCCTTCCCTTTCTCTTCGACTTCAATTCTTTGCAATAGCTTTTCAATTTCATCTGCATTTTCGTGGTTACGATTCCTCTCCCCTTTGATTTCGCTTTCTAAATTTTCGATGTATCCTTGATTTTCTTCCAATTTTTTCTTCAGCGTCTGCACCAAGTTGTTTACGCGTCTGTAGTCGTTGGTGTTATCCTCCCCTACATCTTCTTCGTCATTTGCATCACTAAGGAGCTGCATTTCCTTTTGTAATTCAAATAGAAGTGACTCTGCTTCTTCTTTTCTTTTTTCTCCTGCAACCAACCTCTCCCTTAGAGATTCAATATCTTCTTCTAAAAGCTTTGTACGATCCTGAAGCATTTCAATCTTTTTCTGGCTGAGGTCGTCTCCTGATTGCAGTTCATACAGTTTTCCTTTTAGTTCGTCCACCTCCATTTCCTTCCCGAAAGTAATGCGTTTTTCATGGCTTAACTCCTCTCGAAGTTCTTTCAGTCTCTCTCTCAGGTCGTCAGTAATGTCCTCATGCTGAGTTTGATTTTCGAGAATTGTCTGTTCCGACTCCAACAATTTTCCGCGCAAAAGTGAAATTTCGTCATCTAGCGTTTTATTCTTAATTTTGAGCCCTCCTATTTCACTTTTCATCCTGTGCATTTCCTCTGTCAGGTCTTGTTCATTTGACTTCAGGATCGTCAGCTTGCGACCATACTCTCTAGCAACCTCAGAAGCTTTCCTCCAAGCATGTAACGAGTGGGAAAGGTCCTCCACATTTCCTTTGGTATATAGGCTTAATTTTCTCTTCTTTCCCTCTTTAAACTTGGGGCGAACAGTGTCAAACCAATCGTCAACATCTTGTTTCAAGTCTAGAAAATCTTTGCGACCTTTTCCGGTAGATAGCGACTCGGTATCTATGTTGAGGGCCTGCTCAGTGAACCTGGGTATCTTTTCTTCCTCAGTGCGGACATCGTCTAAAATGGCATCCAGCTTCTCCAGCTTCACGGTAAGGTCTTGACATCTTAAGGTAAGCGATTCACAAAATTCTTCAAACTCAGCTTGAATTCTTTCTCCTTCACTGAACGATCCCCTCAGCTCATAAAGTTTTGATAGAATTCCCTGAAGATGCCTCGCTTCATTGTGATATTTTTCTGAAACCTCCTCCAGGTGTTCTCTCTTCTTTTTTACCTTTTCTCTAATGGTATTCACCTGTTCAAGCAAGCTTCTCACTAATTCCTCAGCTCCTTGTGGATTTTCGAACTTTTCGGCGCTTTCGTCTTCGTCAGCCATGCCAAGTTTGTTTGTATGAAGAGCTCGTCTAAAAGTAATAAAAAGTTTTATAGGGACTGTCATATTCCAATTGATAAACAAACCTTGAGCACAAGTGACTTTTATAATAGCGTCTCTTCAAGTCCCGGCATTATAACTAGAATAATAGGACTTGTTTTCTTTTCATAATTAGACTTGATTGGAAGGAAAGTGCAAATAAAGAGAAATATGCACAGGAACGGAGAGTTAAAACCGTACAATTGGATCGAAGAGTGCCACAATTTTTAAACCTTTAGCTAATATGTTCCAGCTTTTAGACTGTGAACACAAATTAAATTAGGTGAACAGAATGAAAAACGCGATGAAGATGTTACCTAATGATATAACCTTTGATATGTAAAAAGATCTTGTCAGCAAGTTTACACCGCTGTTTTATAATGATCTTAAGGAGAAACACAAGAGTGTCAACACATAAATGTATCCGCTGATTTTGTTTACACAACGTTACTGGCTACAAGCCGGAAAATTATGGAAATATAGAACCTCATTTTTACCAAGCAATGTAAAGTGTGTGTTTACATTGGGAATGATGGGAAGGTGTCGATGAAACACATCTTTCATTCGAGCAATAAAGTCAGTTTACAATCACATGATATTTTTGAATGAGTTTCTTGGTGGCAGTAAATTATGTTTAGTCGTCAAGCTCGGCCTAAAAGGGATAAGGCTTTTATCATGAAGCTATTGTGAAGGAAAAACACCTGTCCTTTGAACAGGTACCAGCATTACTTTAGGTCAATATCTGGTGTGATGGGCTATACAGTGACTTTCTAGAAATATGAAACGTGCCACAGTAACCAGAACACTTCCTAAAATTTCTGTTCAAATGAACATAGATATGTCTACAAATTTAGTCGTATTTCATTCGTGAGCCTCCATGCTTGTTTCAAGGTGAACATGTAATTGGGTTTTAATCATTCGAATATCGAGACGTGTTTGGAAGATGAAATCGAAGATTTTGTTTTGATGTGATAAGTTTAATAGAACGGCTTAATTTTGTCCTATAATTCAACTTTGGCCAAATGGTGGTGATTTATGTGGATGGCATTACTGTTAAGAATAAAGCTACTAAAAATATTTCGCCTTACAAGGTTCCTGATGAGTGCAAATGTCCTAATGGTTGTCTGCCTGGCGAAATGACAACTTTTTTATGACTTGATCGGCTTGGCAAACACGGATTCTGGTTGCTGTCGCTGAATGATTGCTTTGCTACATATTTAGGACAATGAGACTTGTCTCTATGTTGAAAGCAGTTGAATTAAATTCTTAAATCCTCTGATACAAAACAAATGAACTACAGCCAATAGCAAGAGGAGCTTACGGCTATTAATAGTTAATGTATATAAAACGAAGCCCTGCCATTTTTGGAGATGTGGTTACATCTTAAATTGATAAAGAAGTTGCATAATACTGAGATTTTGGAATTACTGGAAGCAAATAGGTAACAGTGCAGTAATTTTATTCATCATGGCTAGAAAAGCTGTAAAAAAAGATCAGAATCCGGTACCAGGTGGATTCAACCATGGGCTTTTGGTAGAATTTATAATTTTTCTAATTTTACAAGGATTCGATGTATATTGCAACTATGGCATATATTTTGAATCATCAAACTCTTTGGCTTCATACGAAGACTTGAGTACGTCTCTCTTCGGATCCAATACAACTAAGGCAAGAGGAGGGCGAAATCTCACTCTTCGTCCCTTGGGTTTTTGTTCAAGCTCCACATTTAATCAAAAGAAGACAATTGAGTTATTTGAACAATTTGGACAAACACTGGATATTTACTTTGCCTTTACTGTCTTAGCCACGATCATCTTCTGTCTCCACTTCTTGTTGTGGGTTGTAACTCTTATATTTTCCCTAATGGAAGCCGACTTTCTTCAAGAAAACTGGGAATTACTGGTTAAAGGGAAAATAGGTTTTACACTAGCTGCAAACTTTGTGCAAGACATTCCCTGCTCCACCATCGCCATTGAGCTATATCTACTGAGAAGAGGCACAATTGGACTGATTTGCTGGCAGTGCTCCTTGGACCCATTGTGCACAAGTGAGGACTACCTGGAAACGCTTCTAGGCCCGAGTTCCAATGCTTTGTTTCTGCTCATCGTAGCGATATGCTTGACAACCCTATGGAAAGCCATTTCATCGTTTTTCCGATGGAGCCGAGCGGAGCAATGCGATGTCTTCATAATTCGCGCGACGACTTCCCTGTTTGCGGGATTTTTGTACGCCTGTGTCATTATGACCCCAGCTATGACGATTTTAAAATATCGGTATTTCACCCTTCCAGGTGTGATGCCAGGATTTATTTCCGATTTAATTGATAAGCTGTTTATCATAGGAGCTCTTTTCTGGTCGGTTGGTATTTTGACCATATGTTGCTGTCCATTACTACGTTTAATAAGACTTGCACAATAGCTGTTTAGACTGTTGAAGACATCGTGTTCACGTATCCTCATTAACTTGTTAAACTGAAAGAGTTTTGTTCTTTCATAACTGTACTAATAGGGCCACGCCAGATATGTGTGAATAACGAACCTTCCACTCAAATCAGAATAAATTCTCAAACTTATGTTTTGGTCCAGTAGATAATACTGCCTTCATTGTAAAGATTTCGATTGCAATTTTTAATAATCTGTATTGAGTGACTGTGACAATTAAATTGTTGATCTGTTGGTAAATGGGATCTGATTTTGATTGGCAACTGTGTTCATATTGGCACAAATTCGAACTGTTCAAGAAACATTTTTCCTAAAGTACCACACGAATCCAAATCAGTGCAGTAAGTAAACTTCACTAAAAAAATAGAATTTATGCCGGCAATTTTAATAATCTCTCTTATTGACGGACTGTACGTCTGAGTCGATCTTCGAGTAAATTGAATCATTCCTTAGGCTTTCAAATTTTTTTTTTCCGGCAAAATTTTGCTTTCATGGAATGGATGTAATTGTTTTAGCTTGTTTTCTTTGGGTTTATTGAATGCCAGCAACAAAAATACACTTGAGAATGAGAAAACCCAAAATTACTATCCATTTTATTACGACCTATCGTGGCCACACGGTTTGAACAGTTTCGTAGACTTTTATTTAAAATCAAATTAAGCTTAACGAACTCTTCCCTAATTTTGGGATAAACACTGCAAAATCGTGAGCTTTTTTTCAGCTAAAAAACCATCATTTTAGACAATGGTTAAGGGCTTGTCTCGTTGCCGAAGTCTGGTATAGTATAACTGAATCCACTTTGGATGGTCTTAAATGTATAAATATTAACAACAGAATGTGTGACAACAATGACAAATCAGGGCTATCTTTCCAAAGCAAATACAGTACTGGTCTCGCTTTCCAAAGTTGCAACAAAAATTTCATCTCACAGTTTTCAAACCAAGAGTGTCGTTTTTCATTCCTTTAAATATTCTATAAGCATCAGTACTTCAAAGCTACTCATTCATATAGTTTGATTTTTCGCTTTTGCTTTACGGTTCTCATTTCACCTAGTTTATCCGAAATCAAAGCAGCTCCCCCTGAATTCAAAATTAAACGTTAGGGTACTTTATACTTTAAGAACCAGTCCAAACTCAAAGTTAAGTTTAGGAAATTTTCGGAAGTTTTGTTTGTTGGCAGAAGCTAATTCACAATTGTAAACCCAATTCAAATGTTGCATGAATGCGCTGAAATTTAAGGAAGCAATTATATGCAGCACTTGCTTGTATTCAGAAAACTGTGAAGTTTTACTTACCAAGCGATTTAAGCAAAAAGACTTACTTCATGATGTGACTTGCATACCTTTCACAAGCCGCATCAGCTGTATCTGGAAATCATTTTAAAACTTGAGAGGAAGTTATCCACTACAAATGGACGCGTCTTGGCTACAAGTACCTGTAGAATCAAACCAAATTATGTATTTGTATGTTATCCAAGTCGAAACTGAGAAATCTATTATTCATGGCCACCAGTAACTGAGAATTCTTCGTTCCATATTTTTTCGCCTCCCTGCAGTGAAATGCAATGCTGATCTATGAATGTCGGGCAAAATTTTCCGTAAACCGTGGACGAGAAATGCGTTCAGCGCACATTCTAACGAACGGATTTATGCACTTTGATATCGCCAAGCTATGCTACTATAATTTATTTAGTTCACTCTTAATTGTTTCAGAAAGCATCTGTTTATTATTGACATTGCGGTTGAGTACACAAAGCAAAAGCTGGCAAAATGGTTTGTAAACTACAATTTGTATAAATACTGATATTTTTCTCTTCACGATGGATCTTGAATTTAAATATACGTATTTGGTGGTCAAATGCACTTGTAGATGTTACAAATCAGATTTTGCTGACATTGATACGTTATCACATTGTTAAAATGAAATATGGAAAAAAAAAGTCTCTCCTCGTAAGCTAGTCCAGAGTATTAGGTGTTTTTATCCAAACAATGTCTCATAGTCGACAAGTTTCTTAATTCTCATTACCCTCAAGGTTGAAAGGGTATTAACACCGTCTGGAGGATTTATCTATTGATCTTTACGAGGAGCGAGAGTCTTAATGGACCTACGTCACATCGTAAAAATACAGCTTAATTTTTTTTCGTTTTATTGGTTGCATTCGATTTTGAAACCTGTGTGATGCTTGTTTTTTAAAGTTTAAAGGGAAGGAAAAGTCAGCTATCGAGCATTGTGGTCCTCATCTACGACGTTTATCCCGGAGAGAGGCATTCTGAGAGTGGAATACAAAAGAATCAGCCGACTAAAGCTTCAACCTGGACATTCCGCCCCATTGTCTAGCGTGCTAACCAGTAGGGTCCGTCTTCACAACAGGAAATATGTTGGTGTAATTGTTGTTGGTTAAACTCCCGAGAGGGAAGCAAAAATGTCCCACTGATTAAGAAATTCCATAGAGAAAACGAAACCATCTACCATGTATCTCAGCTATGGCTGCCGTATTGTTAGGAAGTGAATTCGATTTTTGGTTAATTGGCTGTTTATTTGTTGTTTTACCAAAATTCTACCGAATTAAAGCTAGAATAAGTCTGTTTTTAGGAGGCTGAAGGGTTGCTCTGGTACCCTTTTGAGTCAGAAAAATGGTCAAAACTCAGTTGTTATAAAAGAATTGGTCATTTTCTATGATGCTATACCGAAGGAAGAAAACGAAAGGTTCTGGTGGCATGGCTGGAATTTGTTCTTTGAGATAATGAAACCAAGCCACCTGAAGATATTTTTGTGCTCACCCAATATGGTTGCTGTGCAAAGTACACAGAGAGAATCGGTTACCTCGTGCTTAGTGCGCGGAACTCTGTTCTGTTCTAAGGAAAGAATCTCAACTCTCCCTTTGCTTCTTTCCACTGTGAGGTACCAATGGGTGACGAAAAGCTGCCAGGGAACGTAAATAATTTGTGAGAGATCTGGGTTGGAGTGGTAATGCTTTCAAGAGGATTGCACAGCGGGTATACACTGGTTTTCCTATGCTAAAAATACCGGGATAAGAGTCCACAAAGTGGGCTACTTTGCTTGTAAGAAGGAGCTAAGGTTGGATTGGATTTGAAGGGTAAGATTCTGGGAATACTCCAGAATGTTTATGTCGCGGGAAGAGTAAAATGACTGAAATGAAGAAATACTGTTTTTTTTTTTTTTTGTTTTTTTTTTTTTTTTTTTTTTTTTTTTTTTGCAGATGGTGCGCTGAAATGTTTCTCCATGATAGAAGCCTAAACGGTGCTAAATGGTGATCCTTTGTTTGCATCTTTGCATAACTACGATGTCGCGACAAAATACTTGATTACATAGAATTCGGATCAAACGGTCTGATTGCAAACCCTGGTAAAATGTTTTGAATTTATTGAATTTCGCTCGAAAAATACAGTTTTGGTTTCGCACCCCATAGTAGTTAAAAAATTTCATCATGCAATTCTCAAACCAGGACTGTCGTTTCTCATTCCTTTATATGACCTCTAAACATTAGTTACTCATTTATAAAGTTTGCTTTTTTACCTTTGGTAATCACGGTTTTCCTTTCACCTGGTGTATCTGAAATCAAAGCAGGTTCCTCTGAATTCAAAATTAAACGCAAGGTTACTTTGTAGTTTAACAATCAGTCTCTTACCATTCAGGAAACCTGAAGACACAGAATAACCTGCTATGATCCAGCATCCTATGCAAGGGGCTATATTTGTAATTAGTCGATGACACGAATTAAGCACCAGTCCTAACAGTGTACGTAGGCCATTTGGGTCCTGAGTAGAGTCTATGTTTACGTAAAACATTAATTTGATGTGCACCAGTAACACTCGCAGATCCCAACGAAATTTTCTTTGTAAAGTTTTCCTAAGAATCAATGTTTATTTAATTGTCATGTGTAGAAGAAAGATTCTTGACTACGTTGTAAATATTGTGTTTTTTTTATCCCCACAGAGATCTATTTTTATTTTACCCATACATCTTGAAATACAACCGCTATATATATATTACTAACATTCGAAATGTATCTGACTTTATCACTGAAGAAACGATTTGACGCGAAAATCTGTTTGCTATCTCAAAAGCTATGTACTTCAGATTCAAAGGGAGCATTTTTAGAAAATATCAGTGTCAGAAATCTATTGAAAGGTGTATTCTGTAGCGTAAATTTGCAAGATCCTTTAACATTGCTTCCCTTACACCAAAAAAAAAAACATGGTTTGAATAGAATGGTTACTGTGTTACTCTAATAAGATTCAGCAGAGGGCAACAGACAATAACAGCAACAACCAAAACCCAAAATATGGCACCGATGATGTAGACCCGATCTATAAGGTCCTCAAGCAACCCACCGTCTATTTCGACAAAGTAGCGATATTTTAGCACTGTCATTGCGGGCGTGAGTATAACGATGCAGTACAGAAATCCCGAAAATACAGCTGTACATGCCCGCAAATAGAATGCTTCGCATGTATCGATTCGGCTCCACCTGTAAAAGCTTGAGATGCCCTTCCAAAGAGAAGTGAGCGCAATCGCAGCAAAAGTTAACCAGATGGCTGCCGTGCCCCGGCTTAACCTACTTTCAAGCTGCTTCACGTCAGGACAAAGGCCTGAAACCTTACAGAACCAGCAAACCAAGCCTTGCTGGCCTTGTTGAAGAGAATACAGCTCTGCTGAAATTGTAGACATTGGTATGTCTTGCAGCAGGCTGGCAGCGATGAGAAAGTACACCTTCATCTTTACCAAAGTCTCTTGGGTGTTGGCGTTAAATCGCCGACTATTAAAAGATAGTTGGAGCGTGTACAACCAAGCTAGCAAATGCAAAGTGAAGATACAAGCAGACACGGCAAGGAAGAAACAATATACGTATATCACAGATGAGAAATGATTTATCTCGTTGCTGATCTTCTCTCTTGCCCATTGCACGCTAACACAGAGGTCTGGAACTGTATTGTTCATTGCGGAAACGTTGGGATATTTTTCGTACTTTTCGACCTCATTAAGAACGCTAAGAGATTCATTTAAAACCCACGAGTTACTGAATAAGTTGAATCCCTGCAGGAGCATAAAGATAATAAATTCTGAAAGTAATCCCCTGTTGACTCCAGCAACTCTTAATTTATTTGCAGATTTTCCTCGCGCAGGATTTGGTCTTCTACTTCCTCGCTTCTTCTTTCCTTTACTGGATTTATCACTTTTGAGCTTTCTCTCCTGTCGTTTCTGGAGGACGTCAGTGGCCACAGCTTCTGCGTACTCCCTGCTCGTAACTACCGCAAATCGTACAGTCTTGGACATTTCTAAAATGTAAATGTACAATGTTTGTAAACCGAACAGAATCTCAATGTAAAAACGATGTAGCTGTACAGCGACCGTTACATTCCCATATAACCTTCCCTTCCAGCGCCACTGGTTTAGTTACTCTTCACCTTGCTCCGTTGAGACGTCGTAGATTATTGCCACGCAAAGCTTGCACGCGATGCCAAGACAATCCTGAGCAAAGAGAGATGTTGACTTTGGATGGCACTTCTACCTGTTGAAGACCACATCTAATCATACAAATGTTGAGTTTCAAACGAATTTTCCTCTGACGTGGTCCAGCGCTCGAAATAATTTTTTCAGTAGTAGCAGATGGAGCACCTGACGTCTATACACCAATAGTTTCCTGATCGTTTTGTAGCAAGATCTAGAGTCTCAGTACCATGCCAAGCGACGCAATTTCCAAAGTACAATCTAGTTACGGCAAATCTCTTCGTAAGCAAATCAACTGGACATGATGTTGCAAGAGTTACGTTAAGCAAAAACTTTACTCGGTTTTGGCTAAGGTTGATAACTTTCCGAATATTTCCAAAAGCAGATCTGTTCCTTTTCATATTTAATTCATGTTAAGCTGTTGCGGGGCGTAATATCCCCTCCCATTTCTGACATGTGGCGGGTGGTGTATTCGATGGCAGCCTGCTCGATGAATATCATTGGTTAAACCGGTTTGGAATTCAAATGAACAATTGTAAAGTGATGTTACTTGCCAGTGCATCCTTGTATTTATTTAAGACTGCTGTTTTATTTTGAATATCTTATTAAACCGATACGTGTTCAGAGTCAACCTTCAGTACCTCGGATTTTCAAAAGTAAATCAGTCTTGTCAAGCAAAACTTCTCTTAAAAATGTGTTCGAGGGAAAAAAAACTGGTCCGTGGTAGAGGGATTCACAATCTTCTGTTGGGTATATGAGGTTTTCTCCGTTCCCACCTTCATCCCGACACAAGCGCAACTTTGCAACTTCTTCAGGAGTGTGAAAAGTGTGGCGTAACCCAGGTGATGCTTTCAATCCTTTTAGTCAACAGTACATAATCCTACTAGCGATTTTGATACTCTTTCAACTGGTCAACTGATCAAAATTTGGAAAACCGTCAGTTAAGAGAAGCTGTTCGGATACAACCTAAAGTTCTGGGCCCAGTTGTAGAATGGGCGGATAACGCTATCCAACAGATAAATTGCTATCCAGTGGACAAGTGATAGCAAATCGTACTGTGCTATCCACTGGATAAGGATTTATCCACTAGATAACGTTGTCGAACCTTCGAACAACAGGGGCCTGAAGACCGGCGTAAGAAAGTTACGGTATTAGTTCAGTGCTATCAGTTCTTGGAAGTCAATGTCCCAACGTAACGGTTAAATTCGGGTCCGGCTGAAATTGAAGATTTTTCAATGTCCTAAATTGCGACACTGAATAAATATATTTACGAGATGAAAATCAAAATCAAGCAATAAATCTATTTAATTTTCACAAGTTCTTAGACAGAGAGCATTCCTAATCATCGCTTAAAGAAAGGAGAATCCAGCCTCTCCGCTTAAGCACGAAGGCGCGCTATGAAAGGAGCCTTAGGTCCCACTGGACCATTTGTCAATCAATCGTCGTGTGATATAGAACTCTTAGAGTCAAGTCAGCTTGAGCTACAGCTACTCCAAAGCAGTGAGCAGCGGGCGCATTCCTCAAAATTGTTTTTTGTCATCATCACAATACAAGAATTTTTGAGATTTGTATTTCCTTTCTCCAATGGAAACTGTCTTTATTTGTGGCGGTAAATTTGAGATCGAAGTAGGGGGTTCGCACGTTACCTCATGCCACCATGCTGGTGGAAGTAAACAATAGATATCAGTAGCTCCTTTTGTTCGTCTACCAGCATTTGAATTTAACCCGCACACGTCAACGGTGAGTGACAAATGAGCCGAGGTCTTCCCAGGGAAGACTTCCTTATATAGCGCGCCTTCGTGTTTAAATAACTAAAATGATTATTTGAGCTGGCATTTTACAAAAGCTTACTGGACGGCTGGTTGTTTGCATCGACACGACCAAAATATTTAAAATCATTATCACTTTGTCGGGCATTGTAGCGCATTTTTAGTTCAAGTTTAATTTATTCGCCACAGGAATGGCCGGAGAAAGGAACAGAACTTTCGTTCCAATTGACACCTAACCCCTTTATTACCCACCCATCCCACCCCGGGGAGGACATCCGTCACACATTAATCTCGTGTGTGGGAAATTAACGTCTCCTACCCCAACCCTGCAGGAGACGGGACCTCCATTTGTCGTCCCTATTTGAGAAGACTAGAAAGTCTAACCATTTGAAGATATTATTACAAAGGCAGCACTTTCTTCTCAGTTAATTAAAGACCCTGAGTGTTGGTCCGGCCGGATTTGAACTCACGACCTCCCGCACAACAGTCCGGCGCTCTACCAATTGAGCTAACCGGGAGGCGGTTGAGGGCTGAAATGGAGATTTTGGCGAGCTAAAATAAATTTCAGCCAGTTCGCATCACTTGAGAGACTGTTTTGTTGACTTTTTAGTGTCTATTTTATTAATGCGCTCCAAATTGATAACAATGATAGTAATGATACACTTGAAACTCTTGGGCCCTTTTAACAGCCATTTCAACCCTCGCCTAGCTGCTCGGGCTAAAATGACTTGAATCGGGCTCATAATATATCTATGCCCGCGAACATACATGTAAACTTTATTTTATCAAACACAAAATAACAACTATTATATATATATATATAACTTGTCTAAATATGCACAGAAACAAGGTAATCTATGACTTCAATTTAAAATCTCTACATACAGGGCGCGGGTATCTTACAATGGCCTTACGCTAAACTAAATGTTTACAAAGAGACGTGGTGAATCTTTCAGTTAATTTTAGAATTTACAAAGCTGCATGTTGATTATTTGCACTTTTAGACGCATGAGGCTTTAAAAATCAAGTCAAATCTTTAAATGTTGCTTCCGGCTATCATGAGTCAATTGTTACTGGTTCATTTAAAAAATACTAACCAATGCAAATAAAAGGAAACAAACTATTCTTTTGACTTGATTACCCTTGATTTTTTTTAGTTAACTACTCCTTTTTTTAACGGCAGACTTTCAGTTAAAAAGTTATTTGACAGTCACCCACATATAGAGCAATTTACATCAACTCCGTTAAACTGAAAGACTTTCGAGTATGATCTCTGGTTTCAAGTTCACGGACTCTTGAAAATAAAAAATCAAAATAAACAAAAAACATAGCTCTCTTCTTGTACATGTTCATGCCTAAGTTAGTCTTCTATACATTTATACAAGATATTATCTACTACTTGTTATAAACTACGCGTAATAAATGCTCTGCTATACAAAGGAAATCAGAAGCATAACATTACATTCATATCATCTCTACATGTACAGAGCATGGGACCAAAAATAGAATAACTGACTAAAAGATTAGAAAATATATGGCATCTAAACTCCACTGAGACAAGGAAACAAACAAACAAAAAATGAGTATTTAAAATGATCTTGTCTGAGTTCAGAGAGGCTATCCATAAGACTAAAAAACGAGAAATGCACTCTCTAGATAGTATAATAATCCTTTAAACCCCACAAGTGACCAATGTGCAATTTCTCCTCACCATAGCAGTACAAAATCAACCAAAGAGGTAATGAGAAGATAGAAACACATCAACGAGAGGATGTTATTTGAATTAACCTTTGAACTCCCAGAAGTGATTGACATGTAACTTCTTGCCGTGATATCCTTACATCATCCGGCAAACAGGTCATGAGAATACTCAAACTTATCAGGTAGAAGTTGTTGTCTTGATCTACCCCTGGCAACACCAAATTATTGTAACTAGTATACGATGAATTTCTGTAGCAGTTAGAAGGGAGAATTAACAATCAGACCTTGCAAATTTTAGGGGTTACTGCCAAATTTTCTGGGCTATAATTAACCGGAATGGGTAGCAGACACAGAGGAGAATTTTAACTGGTATCTTGGGAGTCCAAGGGTTACAGGGGAATAAAATAAAAAGAAGATCCACTACCCTAAGTTAGGAAATGGTTTGAGCCTGAGTGTAACAATAAATTGTTTGGTCTGAACACTTGCAGGAGGGGAAGCCTGGACAGCTGCTAAAAAAAAAACCCTGACCAGACAACATTATTGGAGTCAACTAAAGATGAGTGATATTTCAAAAACCTGACAAGAAGTCATCGCTGGAGTCAACATTACTGATGATGAATTCCATTCAGGCTGTAAAAATATCCTATCTGTCCTTAATTTCCAGGGCTGTCAGGTAACCTCACTGGCACAAAAAGAATCTACCATCAAATGTCCTAAAACTGGCAATTGCTGCAAATCTCACCAGAGTAAAACATTGTATGGAAAAATATGTGCACAAGAGCCCTACAAGAGACCCTTACACCTTGTCCCAAAATTGGACTGACATGTTAACCTTCAAGACCACATCCATGACTGGACAGGGATACCAAACCACTATAATTCACATTTTTGCAGTGCCATCTTCAATACAGGTAACTTCATACTACATAACTACACTCTTAGAATCTCCAAGTTGTTGTTGTAGCAGATGCCGATCCAGTCTGGCTGTGTGCTCGCCCACTGAATTTGATTTATCTCTCCATCTGCAGTGTAAGCTAAAATGGGATCTTCAATGGCTCGTGGCATCTGTTGAATGTCCCAGATCAACGCTTGATGGTCATCACCTTCAGGAGAGAATCAAAGCAGTTACCAATCCCATAACATGGAAGCTATGTATGGTTCATATAATATGACAGACAAGTAACTGGAAGTATACCATGTACTCAGTTGTCCTGCCAGCCAGGCAGACAGAATTTCAATTAGTTAGTTATTCAGTCAGTCAGACAGGCCATCTGCCTGTCTGTCTGCCAAAGAGTTGGCCAAACAGTCACATAAGGACACAAAAAGGTTTCCAATGTTTCCTTGCACAGGATGTTTCTGTTTTTCTCAACTGCTCCCTGATAATCAAAACCTACATGTAGACTTCATCAGTGCCACCACACATGATGGTGTATACCAGTTAAATATTCATTTACTGCATTTATTTACTGCAAATAACCCAGAAACTGACCTGCTGTACAGATATGACAAGAAGAATGTGGAGCCCATGCAATTCCATTTACACAGGCCCTGTGGTTGTTTAACCTTGCCACTGGTGTGCAGGGTACTCTAACATCTAATATTATCACCTATGGCAGATAGAAGTCAGTATCGAAAGTAAGATTTGTGGAACTGCACGTATGTCATTTTTAGAATTATGGAGAATATAATTATTCTACTATTGGTATTAATAGTGTAAAAGGACCAAGGAGATATTTTTTTTTGTATATGAAATTCAGCCCAGGTTTTTCTACATGCCCAAAATACCACCTACATACAATTTAAATGAAGTTTCTTTACGTTAATATACATGCATGATGCATGTCCAAAAATTAGAGCTGCGCTTCATAGCCACATCTTCAAACAGAACTACCTTTTGAAAAAGGATGAATAATCACAACAGGTGAACATGAAAACCAAAAGAAATACAACAGTACCTGTAATGCAAGTAAAGCTGATTCTTGCACACATCACCCAACTACGGTACCTAAGGGTAATAATTTAATTTCCTAATATTTCCTTTTATTAATTTACAGACTGTACACTGTCAACAAACCTCCATTGCATCCAAAGAGAACGTTGCTAAATAGTTAGGATCCTGTTTGTTCCATGATAATCTTAGCAAGGGACTGTGTTGTGGATCTTCATAAATTATTGTAGAGTGTTCTAGGTGCCTGTGAGAAAATCAGGTTAATTATGAAAACTATTGTATCACCTGAAAACTTGACATGTACCAGGAAAATAAAAAGGAAATTAGTGTTTGTCTTGTAATGGGCAGGGGACAAAGAGTTCCAATAAGGAATCAAACAATAGATCTTTGAATTCCATGTTTTGACAGCTCACTATCTTAGCTACAGAGAACTCTGTGGTAAGCAGTAGGCCATTTCTACAGTGTATGTTGTGTATTAATGTATAAATGAAATGCATTTTGCATTTACCAGTCCTGTAATCTCCATTCACAAAACTGAAATTAAGGTTTGTTAATAGGCAACCAAAATATATCGGTGTCTATCATTCGTGAAACTTACACTGTTTCCACAAAGTTAGGAGTAATTCACAGTACAAAATATTTCACTACATTAATTCCAAATAAAATTTCTTGTGAGATTTAAATATACATACTGTATGTTCCTACAATGTCTAAATCAAGACATACACTATACACATCTACCATTCTGTATGTTTCATAAGAAAACACAAACACACACCTTAGATCAAACATCCTAACTGAGCCATCAGCTCCCACAGAGGCAAACATGTCCCTTCCTCCCCCTGCACGACTAAAAGCAATGTCATATACCTAGAAAATGAAAGAAAACATGTTACATGTAGATAAGCTCAGTTACCGAGATCAGAATTCCTTACAGAATGGTACTGAATAGTAGAGCTGAATTTCTTTTCTGAACTTGCTAAAAATGGACTACTCCAAGTCAACACAAATTCCTTTTGATAAAGGTAAAATTATAACAGATGTGTTATTTCCTCAGGATCTTTGATTCACAGCATAACCGTAAGTACCTCTTTATCATGTGCAATGAGTTGAGTCTTGACATGTCCTGACACCATGTTTACCCTTCCAAGAACTTGACCAGTCTGTGACAAACAAGGCAAAAAAAACAACAGGAAAAACAGTGACTTTGAAGACATACAGTGTACAACATGCCATGCTAAGCTGAATTACTCAACTCATGGCATCTGTGCAAATCAGGAAGAGGGACTAGCATGCGACCCATCTTTTTTCTATACATACAGCTGGCCCCAGTTGTTCGAACGTTGGATGACACCACCCACTGGATAAATCTGTATCTGGTGGAGAGTGCAGTATGTTTTGCTATCACTAATCTACTGAATTGCAATTTATCTGTTGGATAAATGCTCTTTAAAACTGGGCCCAGTAGAGTAAAACATCCTGAGAATATTTTTGATCAAGTCTTTTCCAATTAAATTGTAGCAATTTACAATAAATGGTTTTAAACCCTGAGGTAACATTCAATTGTGTAGTCTGATTGGGAATTCCCAAGGAAGCTTGTTGTTGATAATGATGAATGACTTTTAGACAGCCTTGGTGGAAGTTAATATCAGAGTTGAGAACAGGCATTATCACCTCACAGCATCAGTCCTATTGTGCATACACAAGTGAGCCACCACCATACCTCCAGTCCCCATATGGTGCATGTTGTATCAATACTTGATGTCCCTAATAAATTTGGATCCACCTCATTCCAGTCAAAAGATGTCAAAGGAGCACAAAAATCAGAGTTCTTATTCTGCTTATAAAATAAAATAAAACACGACAAATAATTAGCATCCATTGCTCAAGCTTCAGCAAACTACTGTGCTCTCTTCATAGAAACAACATCAGTTACTTGCATTTAATTAAGGTTAAGACTGAGGCAAAGTAGTTGACTTGGTCCCTAAGAGACTAAGTCTTCACAATATTTAGCAATAGCTGAGTTAAATATTTGTGTAATCATTCATATAATTTATTTATGTTCCTGATCACTTTCTGAAATCTCTCTCTGACAGCTTAGGGAGGCAATCTCTCATACTACATGGAAAAGCATGAAAACAATGCGCATAACCAAAATATTGGTGTAGCTACACTTGTAGGTAGTGCTGTACATGTAAGTAGTTATCTACAGGTTAAACTGCTCGCTTTTAGTCAATGAAAACGAAGCAAGATGCATCAGATACATGAAACATTATCATAACATTATTTTATCAAAACAATCAACATGTGTTCTTTTATATTCTTCATTGTATCAGACAACCAATGCTTAGAATCTTTCTTTATGCCAAGTGTTGTCCTGAGATTTTTTAGTAACCAGCTACATGTACAAAACAAAACACTAGCTAGGAAAGATTAAAAATTTTTCATAGATCCCCACATGTTTGAAACTTCTGTGTGTTTTCTAATTCAAGAGGCTGACACTACATAAATGATAAACCAACAAAAACGTGCATGGTTTGGTACTTTTGGAGAACACTTACATGAATGCAATGACCAAATACTTTGTCCACTACATGAAGGGTACTTCATAAAACCAATAAAAAATACTCAGAACTCTTACATTATTCAGAAGACATTCCAGGCGCACTTCAGAATCACTGACTCTCCATACTCTAAGATAGTCTCCAGATGTTGCAACTAAATCAGGATAGCCACCTTTCTGTTGTATAAATAAATTTTTTATACAAAGTCATACATTGCATAATGATGTAGAGAAGACTCATATTCACTTGCAACTGAAAAAGTGTTGTATTTTGATAGGACTTTTGGGTCAAAATGATTTCACGCTAGTTTGATACATAAATGAATACAACTTGGTGCCGAGAAGATTTCAGGGTTCGTACACTTTTTCAGGCCAAAGATTCAAGGACTTTTCAAGGACTTTCCAGGACCCTACTTAGAAATTTCAAGGACTTTTTGTAATGACAATTTTACCTCAAAACCAAGAAAAATGTTTCTGTTAACATCTATGTTTTGGGTTTACTGATGGTGCAAAACAAAAGCAGATATTTTTCGATGTTGTTCAATAAAAAATCAAGGACTTTCAAGGACCCAAAATGAAATTCAAGTACTTTCAAGGCCTTGAAATCAGCCTCCTGAAATTCAAGGGTTTTCAAAGGTTTTCAAGACACGTAGGAACCCTGAGATTATAAATGAAATAAAGAAAAATGCAATCAAACCAGTTAGGAAAGGTTAAAACTTATTTCAGATCATGATTGTGATCAAGGCCTTACTTCTTCTAAACAGTCCATTACAAAATGTGTACTTTGAAGAGTATGTATGATGTCGAAACATTTTCAAAACATTGTTCAAAATTCAGGGAAATGCACTGCTTCTGTGTGTAACGCTAATGGAAAGCATTCAGGTGGTCACACAGAGATCTAACAATGCCTGTTAGGTACAGTGACCGTCTCCACCTCTATGGAAAAAGGTCATTTACAGATGATGTATTAACATTTTCTATCAACATCTAAAGGTACAGATACGAAAGAGTTTGATAAGATCTTTGATCTTTTCATCAATGACAAGAAAAGCATACAGGAACAGATCATAGTGATCACATTGTAGAGATTAGATCTAGATAGGTGTATTACAAACCGAACAGAATAAATAATAAAATCTCTGTTTTGTGACTGAATTCTTAAAAAAAATTTTAACACCAGCATCCAAGAGACAAAATGCGTTAATTTGTTGACTATATGAGGGAACAAAGAACTCAATAATGTGCGCAATCATCTGAATTGAAAGCGTAGAGGTAATGAATTTTAAATGCGAAACGCGAAGTAATTAAAAACTGGCAAATGGTTGTGGATTCATCGCGATCATTTGATTCACAAGGCCGGCGCCAAGCTGCATACCAGCTGTGCTTCGGTCAAGTAACAACTTTTATCAAAAAATTTAACGAAAAGACTCTGCGCACGAACTCAAAATATACGAGTCCATGCCACCAGCTAAGCACCTACTAAAATTTTCAGCAAAAGAACGAAAAAAGAGAACTGAAACCAAACGGTAAATTTCAATCTTACACTGTCAGGTATCCAAATGATTTTCGTTGTCGGGTAAGGATGGTCGAAAGTCGCTCGAACAACAAACTCCGCCGTCTCTTCGTCAAGGTAAATTATCTGAACCTAGCAAAGAAATGAAAAAATCGATCAGTTGAGAAGAAACTCTAAAAACAGACACTGATCACTCGCAAGCTCACTTTGTTGTTGTATTCCTCGACGAAGCTTCCCAGAGCAAGCCGAAATCGCTTATCGGGTCTTACACTCCAATTCATGCCGTAAATCGTCCATGGCGCATCATATTTGTATATTTCTTTTCTCTTCGTTGAGACACCTGTTGCAGTCGCGATCATGGCCATGGCGAAGGCAAAAATTCAAACCCAAAATACACCGGACAGCAAGCTAGCGGAGATAAACAAAAGCAGTCAAACTCGGCGAAATACAAATGGCGGCTGAACTAACCTCGTTCTGACACCCGATCCAGTCTAGCGCGTCTAGCTCAAATTCGCATGCATTTAGAGATCTCATACTATGGTGGCCGAGAACTGCCATTAAAAATATTCAAATTTATAGGAATTATTTTTGTTATTTTTTTTTTAATTTCCATTTATTTCTCATTTTTCTTTTTAAAATAAAAGCAAGTGAAAGTAAAATGCAAAATAGAAATAAAATGAAACCAAAGATAAATGAAATCAAATCAAAATTAAATACTACCCGGCCGAGCGCTGCCACTAGTTTTTTTTTTTTTTTTTTTTTTTCGCAGTCGGAAAAAAAAATTTGTTCGTGGCCGAACGCTGCCACATGGCCGAAGGCTGCCAAACAAACCCAGAATGCACTACCATCAAAAAGTTCATGAGAAGCAATTTCTGGGTCGAATAATTCATACCCATGTCTTTGTATGTCCAGCAGCATGAGTTTTTTGCCTGACTTTTCATAACAAAAATGGGTTAGACATTGAGCCTTCTGACCCATAACATCTGTTTCCTCGACACAACAATCACCAGTATTGTTTAAGTACTTGGTAAACTGTCCATCAATAATCTCCTCCACAGTCACAAATTCTCCTTTATCATCTTCACCGTAGTAGATCTTTCTATACCTTAGGACCTCTCCAAATGCATGTTTTCCAATGATTTTTTGTTCCAACTGGCGAGCAAAATTCCTTGCAAGAAGATGCATCTGAACCGCCTTTTGGGTGTGTTGTTGGACAGTTTGCCCAATGTCATTTATTCCCTTCACAGCATCAGGAAGGTATCTTTTAATTACCCAGGTAGTCCCCTTGAACTGTTAATTTCGATTTATTTCTCATTTTTCTTTTTAAAATAAAAGCAAGTGAAAGTAAAATGTAAAATAGAAATAAAATGAAACCAAAGATAAATGAAATCAAATCAAAATTAAATACTACCCGGCCGAGCGCTGCCACTAGTTTTTTTTTTTGTTTTGTTTTTTCGCGGTCGGAAAAAAAAAATTGTTCGTGGCCGAACGCTGCCACATGGCCGAGGGCTGCCAAACAAACCCAGAATGCACTACCATCAAAAAGTTCTTGAGAAGCTATTTCTGGGTCGAATTAATTCATACCCATGTCCTTCTATGTCTAGCAGCATGAGTTCTTTGTCTGACTTTTCATAAGAAAAATGGGTTAGACATTGAGCCTTCTGACCCATAACATCTGTTTCCTCGACACAACAATCACCAGTATTATTTAAGTACTTGGTAAACTGTCCATCCATAAACTCCTCCACAGTCACAAACTCTCCTTTATCCTCTTCACCGTAGTAGATCTTTCTATACCTTAGGACCTCTCCAAATGCATGTTTTTCAATGATTTTTTGCTCCAACTAGCGAGCAAAATTCCTTGCAAGAAGATGCATCTGAACCGCCTTTTGGATGTGTTGTGGGACAGTTTGCCCAATGTCATTTATTCCCTTCACAGCATCAGTATAGTAAGGTATCTTTTAATTACCCAGGTAGTCCCCTTGAACTGTGGGTGCTTTGTGGTTGCTTTGTATGCATTGCGAAACCCACCGTGAGCAAACGGCTCTTATTCTTCGTTGAATTCGACAGTTATTATTATACAGCTCCTTTCCTTTAATTAATTTATGCGTTGTATTTCCTGCATCACGCTTCTTCCCTCTTTTCGCGGTCACTTTCTCTTTTAAGTTTTTCCACGCGGCATCCGTCATACTAGAATCTTGAAAGGCATCCTACAAAGAATTCTGGGTCTGTTTGGCAACCCCCGGCCATGTGGCAGCGTTCGGCTACGAAAAAAATTTTTTTTTTCCGACCGCGAAAAAAAAAAAAAAAAAAAAAAAACTAGTGGCAGCGCTCGGTCGGGTAGTATTTAATTTTGATTTGATTTCATTTATTTTTGGTTTCACTTTATTTCTATTTTACATTTTACTTTCACTTGCTTTTATTTTAAAAAGAAATGAGAAATAAATCGAAATCAAAAAAAAAAATAACAAAAGTAATCCCTATAAATTTGAATATTCTTAATGGCAGTTCTCGGCCACCATAGAGATCCATTTAGAGCCCAGACGAGCCCAGACTTAGTTGGTTTGTTGTCAGCGGAGTTAATGACTAAACACATACCTTTATACTGTAACAGTCATATAATGGTTTGATGAACTCTCTTGTATTATTCGAGTGAAATAGGTAATCTTGGCGGATAAAGGCCACTTGCACCAGGAAAAGCATTTTTTTGACGTAATAGAAACAAGAGTTTTGGAGACACAAAGAGTAAAAATTCTATAAATTTTATGCTGTTAACTGTTAAGTTTGAACACGTTCACAGTAACACTCTCCACTTAGGATTGTAAATGGATACCGAGGAAGTGTTAAGGAAACACGATATCATTATTTCCTCGATTAATTGCGATGGACTAGCGTCAGAGCCTGGCGAGTTTACAGGTGGGGGTGGGGGGTGGAGGAACGGAATTACCGGAAGGTTAGCATTACTCTTCTTTCATAACTGTATTTTTATTTAATGATTGGTGTTAATCAGTCTTTTTGACTTCGTAACATCTTATAAAAACATCCTAGATTTCGTTCGCTTTTAAGACCAGGGCCTAGTTGTTGAAGGGCGGTAAACGCTATCCAACGAATAAGTTACTATCCAGTGGATGAGTGCTGACAAAACGTTCTGCGCCATCCAACCTAAAGAGATTTATTCACTCTTCGAATAACCGGGGCCAAATATGCTCAAGTATTTGTCGTTGCTGACTTATCATACCAAAAGTCATGAATATCAAATAATTTTACATTGATATAATATTCAGAAACTTTCGTCCCATTACTAAAGGACAATTTGGTTAGTTACCTCAAAAATTGCAGGACGAGACCATTACTATTTAATCCAGGTCTACGGTGAGTCTTTGCAACACATGTGAAGCAAAAAAAGCTGCCATTAGAGGCTCTTCGGCCTAAAGAAAAGCTGAATAATCTAGAATTTCAAAACAGTTAGTAGACTAGGTAATCCTCTATGATGAAACAGTCCCGTTATAGCTTTTGACTAACTCAGCAAAGTAGCTTCCTCTCTTGTTCAGAAGCACACCAGGTTTATCAAACTCGACGACACGGCCACGATCTATGACCATCACCCTGTCATAGTCGATAATCGATTCCAGCCTATGAGCAATGGTCAGCACTGTGACGTCCTTCAATTTGGTTCGTATGACTTCTTGAATCAAACGATCTGTCTTAAAGTCGACATTAGCAGTTACTTCATCGAGGATGACGATTTTGTTCTTTTGTAACAGAACACGTGCGAGACACAGAAGCTGCCTCTCACCAACACTCAAGTTGCTTCCAGATTCTGTAAGTCTGTACTGAAGTTGTCCAGGCAACAGTTGTACCCATTGCTTCATTTGGACATCTTCCAAAGCGTTCCATATCTCATGGTCTTCGAATTTCTTGAAAGGATCCATGTTGTCTCTTACGCTTCCCGCATATAGAAAAGGATATTGAGTTATCACTGAAAATGTTCGCCTAACATCTTGAATATTTAGTGTTTCCAGATCTATTCCATCCACCATTACCTTTCAAAAAAAAAAACAAAACAAAACAAAATCTTAAATCAGAGATATCCGATGATTTTGATAGATATTAATTCACTACTGGCTCATCACACTTCAACTTATTTTAGTCTGAACTTATCCAGTGAAACTGTAAGATTGGGCAACTCCGGAGTAAGATAAAGATTAAGGCTTATTCTATGTTGACATAATCTACAAACTATCAATAATGTTCAATTTCAGGACTCCAAGGACCTACCTACATTTTATAGTTCTTAGGCCCCCCGAGCAATGATGTTGTTTGAATTTTAATTTACGTCTAAAGACATACCATTCCATCTGGTTGGGGCATCCTGAACAGAGCTGCTACAACGGAAGACTTTCCTGATCCAGTTCTCCCTACCAGACCAACCTTCTCTTTATCCTTGATATCAACAGTAATATCCCTCAAAGCACGATGGCTTCCTTCAGTATATCTCAAGGACAAGTCTTTGAAGCTTATGTTTCCTTTAGTCGGCCATAAATCTGGATGTTCGTTCTGGGTGGATTATCCAGGTTCTGAAGCTATTTGAGTGAATGTTGCCACCCTCTCTACGGTTGTCATGAGGTTTTCTGTCTCTGACGTCAACTGCACACCAAATTGAGCCGCATCTAAGGTTTCTAATACATAAACTAGGGACATTCCTGCCAGGGCTGATAAAAATAGTAACATCAGTGTGGCTGTAGGTTTGCTGTCAGTTCATAACACCAACAAATGGATCATTTGTGTATACAATACCTGGTATTTGTGTAACAAGAACAGCTCCTGCTGCTACCAGTGCGACGAGCAAACTACAGAGCAATTCTAAACGGACGCCCAGCCACTTGCTAGACCCCAACACCATTATAACCGCAGGCGTGTTTTGATCTTGGTATCTAAAAAAGTTTGAAAAGCTACATTAAATTTCAGTGCAAATAATACATATTTCTCATTTATTTATGCATTTATTAGCAATATTTAACCAGGCTGGCCCAATTCAGCTGCAAGCTGGTTTGAATGGGGAATGGTTACTTAGTTAGTTATAACTTGGTATTTTCCGGTGGAAAAAACGTAACTGCACAGCTCACCTCTTTCAAACTTAAGCTTCCTGTCTGATCAGAGCAAACGTAAAACCCTATCTATTTATTATGAAGCTTTGGACCCGTTCAATATTAAAGCACCCAACATTTTTTTTGTGCGAGCAAAATGAAATTGGTGACCCCAGTATTCAATGAATGAATGAATGACCTTGAAGGGAAAAGTGCTTCACTTATATTCTTGAAACACTCTATACCGAGGAAGGCTACGAATTTCTTGATTGAAGCCAAAGGTACATATGATAACTTTCTATTTTGTCATCTACCTGGGATTGTAATTTTCATTTTTTTGTCAATAGTATATATGCAGAATAATTACTCAGACTTACCTAAATAGATCCTGCAGAAAAATTTTCTCCATGTCAGACGATCGTATTACTTCCAGGCCGGCAATTGTATCTGATATGTGTGAATATACCGGACTGCATTTTATGGCCTCTAACCTCTTTAGTTCTCTTGATGTCTTTAGATAATACCTCGCGTAGTAAAAGAAGAGTAGTATCAAGGGGGTGATACCAATAACCAGCCAGTAATTAGTTGCTGCTGGCAGTAAAGTAGCACCCAAGGAAAACAAGCATAGCTGGACTGCCAGAAGGAACTGTGGAGGCAATGTGTCGTCCATACAACCGACGTCCTTAGAGAAGCGGTTGAGGATGCGCCCGACTGGGTTGGTGTCGAAGAAAAAAACTGGAGCCTTAATAATTGCTGTAAACATCTTGTCATGAAGCTTCTCTGATGCTCGTAAAAGGGTAGAGAGGAATAAAAAAGAAATTATAGTGGACAAAATAAGGGTGCCGATTACTAATGACCCGTAAATGCCAAGTGTAGTGAGGTCTCTTTGCTGGTCATCAGACATACTGGCAATTCGAGACAACCACCAGTATGGAGATATCGAAACAACTGAAATGAAATAGAAAAATGAATGAGTTGATTCTTCTGGAAATCAATCAAGCAGCCGATATACATCAGCGGACCGACTTGCCAACCAATCAGGCAGTCGGTCGTTCTGTCGGTCAGTTCATCGGTTAACGACGTACGCAAGCAAGCAAGCAAGCAAGCAAGCAAGCAAGCAAGCAAGCAAGCAAGCAAGCAAGCAAGCAAGCAAGCAAGCAAGCAAGCAAGCAAGCCTACGAATGACTGAAATATCTCAGTGCAAAACAATTAACAGATATGGGTGGCTAAATGTGTCATTTGAAACATTGCCAGCTTTTCCTCAAACAAAAGACTCGTCTCTCTTAATAGAACCATATCCTAGATTTCTTACAATTAAGCGACCTAATATAGCTAGATATAATACATGAGTGCAAAAAAAAAATGGCGTAAATTTTACCTTGAACAAACAACACAAGAACGAACAGACACATCAGTAGCGCAGCTGGGAGAGCAGATCGGAAATATTGCCAATAGAGAGTCCACGATACTTTTCCCATCATTCTGTCCTCTCCCCCTTCGTCTAAGCCATCTCCAACCTCTTCCATAGTAGGGAGACCAAGTGAAGTTTCTGTTCGACGCCTGCGTATAGGAATGGACATTTTTAAAGACTCTTTCCTCTGATATCCTTTCCCAACGAATGCAGTCTTGGACAACATGTTGTTATTTAGCAGGTCAACATACTTTCCTTGGCACTCAATGCTTCCTCGTTCCATGACAACAGTGTAGTCATTGCTCTCTAAAAACTGGTGTTGGTGAGTCACCAAAACGCAGATTTTTTCAGAGAGCAAGCCACGCAAGCACTTTCTGAAAATGTGCTTTCCCACTTGGATATCAACGGCACTAAGAGGATCATCAAGCAAGTAGATGTCTCTGTCTGCATATAGTGCACGGGCCAAACAAATACGAGCACTCTGTCCTCCACTAAGACTAACTCCACGTTGCCCAATGTGTGTCAAGTCACCTTTCGAGAACTGCTCGAGGTCTTTGTGCAAACTACACGCTTCAAGAATTCCTTGATATCTTAGCTCATCAAGTGGTTTGCCAAAGGTAATGTTATGCTGTATCGTTCCAGAGAAAACACACGGAAGTTGGGGCACGTATGCAATGCTCCCAGAATGTCGAATTTCGCCACTATTGCAAGGTAGTTCACCGAGTATTGCCTGCAGGAGAGAAGATTTCCCACAACCCACGGGACCTGTGATGGTGATGAATTGATTGTTATAGATATTAATTGAGACACTACGCAATGTATCTGGTTTATCTTTCTGATTCCAGCTGCAAGAGATGTTTTTCAACGAGATCCAAGATTCTGTTCGAGATCGTTCTAAGCAAGCTCTTTCAATGTTCTCTTTCTTGGGAATAGTGCAGAAGCTTGTGAACTCATTAAATGTGAAATTTTCTCCTTGGAAGTGTTTTTGATCAAACGTAGGACTACCATCTGACTTCAATTGGATGTCATTCTCACGAAGACCAGGAAAGGAACTTAGCTCTAAGAATTTCTGTATCCTGTCAAATGACACTTTAGCGTCAGCCAGCAAATGAAGCGTTTCCCCCATGGAAACAGAAACAGAGAACTTTATAACATTCAAAGTTGACATCAACGTGAAAATTTGAAAGGCCGTCAGATGGTTGTTGGTAAGAAGTAGTGTTGTCATGGAGATAAACCCAGCAATAGGGGTATTGGTAAAGTACAAAGCATCAAAACTTGACAGAATGGCTCCTCTCCAGCGAATAATACCGATCTCATTCCTGAAAAAAGTGGATAATGTTTAAAATGATGGACAGTTCTTGCCTTTTTTCCCTCAGAAATACTGAGCCTAAACATTACCAATATCTGTTATTGGAGTCGTAAGTTTATCGTAGTGCTGTAGATAGAAGTAAAAATAAAGCAGATTTATCTATCTTTTCTGAAAATCGTTTTACAATGATAGCTTAAAGTTAACGCATGATTATTTAGGGAGTTACAATTAGAGAGGTAGAGATGCTAGAGTTAAAAACTGTTTTTAATTAAACTGTACATAATATAAACGGGCTGAATTAAATCAAATGTGTGTCAAGATAGGGACAGTTCATAAGAAATCGCAAGCCAAAGTAGCATCTGAAGCTGAAAGAAGAATTAGTCGTTGTTAATGATTCTTTTCTATTTTCGGCGCTTGTTTGCTAAAAATTACATTTACTTACGTTCTCAAGTTCCTGATGAGATCTCTGAAGTTCCATTCCCAAGCGTGAATTTTGATTGAACGAATACCAGCCATGACTTCGTTCAAAATCTCAAGACGTCTATCCGTCACAGATGCAGCATCTTCTCTTAGATGGCCCGCTTTCTTGGATAGCACTGATATGTATATGATTACTATCAAGAAAAAACCTGCTCCCACGAGGGCCTGCCATCCAATCAAAAACCAGAGAAGTACCCCGGATGATAGAATTTCTATCGGGGCAAACACGAAAAACAACATACTCCAAACAGCGTCCTGTAAGCGATTGGCATCATTTGAGACCAAGTTGATCGTTTGACCAGATGCGATTTCATTGAAAGAACGCCTATTTAACTTGAGAATCTGTAAAAAGTAAAGGGTACTGAGTGTTTCCCTATGTTTCAATGAAACATTCTCAATTTTTTTGTCATGCAAATTCCTCTTTGTAACAGGAGTAAGACACTTTGAATCACATGGGTTGTAAGAACTTTTGATATAATCTCCTAATTTCCCACTGACTTCACTGATATTCATACCTTCTTGTAGATTAATCCAATAGCAGAAACCTTGAGCTGCAGAGCGAATATTCCAGCCAGGAAAAACGAATGGTGGTGTGACATTCCCTTCACAACCGTAAGGAACGAGATGGCAACAACCTGAAGTATGGTAGAGCTTTGATTCACATCAGCATTCTCTGATAAACTGGAGAGAAAAAGCCAAACCATAATAGGAAGTAGGATATTAGATAAAGAATGTGTAAGTTTGACAGCCACCAACTTCAGGTATTTCTTCAGGGAGAACATCTTAAACGCGACCCTCCAAAGACAGGGTTGTTTATTCCTGCGAGTGCAGATGGCAGATTCTTTAAGCCATTCTGCTTCAAGCTTGTCAACAAGTGTCTCTGTCTTTAATTCTTCTTGAAGGGGAAGCAGGTCCTCGTCTTGCAGAGGGCGTTGGTAGCCGAGTTTCAAGGTATCATTCATCCACCAGAAAAATAGCAGAGAAAATATGTGTGCTCTCTCCAAGGGACTCTGATTCTTTCTGGTCGATGTCTCGGTGTTCATGTCAATCTTCCTTTACCTGTAAATTAAACAGTCATACTCTAGAATCTTGAAAAGCAAAGTAATATTCAGAACATTAATTCTTGGAATGGGATGGGATGTAATTCAAATGGAATGTTTCAAAAGGAAACTACCCAAAAATTTAAATTACCAGTTAAGAGGCTATCCATGAGAAAACCATGCAATAGGTGCTACACTGCACATCGCAGAATTAGCTCAAACTTTCCACATAGGCATAACTTAGTGAAGTATTGGTAGATATGGTATTAGTTTTGTTCAAGCTTCTTTCTTTTCTTGTTTTCAGAGAGGGTACCCTTGAACAGCCAAATTTACACTGAAATAAGTTAAAATTTTGTGTTTTTTTCAATGACAATACTTCTGGCAAATTGTACAGTAATCCAGGTGAAACAAAATTCTCACAAACTAATAAGTATGCACTCTTAAACAATGACAACATAATTAGTGTGACTCTTCTTTATTACATTTTCCATAGCATTATTAAACATGACATTTACTGGGAGTAGGTAATGCCGAGACTACTAAAATAGAGACAACTAATTACTTTATATTAAGAACTATATTGGGCTTCTCGAAGTCTGTGTCGTACGACTTCCTCCTCAAGTTGGCCGACATTAAGTCCTTGGAGAATCGTAGGCAATTCCAATCGTTAGTTATGTTATATAAGTGCTTGTATGATAAGGGAGCACCTTATATAAGTGACTTTTTTAATTTTAGAAATGTACCGTATAGTTTACGTGGGCTCAGTACAAGGCTAGATTTACTTCCTTTTAATCATGAGTTTTTACATCGGTCATTTTCATTTTTAGCAAGTAAACTTTGGAATGCGCTACCCCCTAAACTCAGAGAATCTCAAGATATTGTTTCATTCAAGTGTTCTCTTAAAGCCCACATGGCTTAGCGGTAGTGATTGTAAATATTGTTAATATCGTAAATTTTTGTTGATAGCTCTTGTCTATGATCTTCGATCCTGTTTTTAGTTATTTAATAGATCTACTTATTATTTGTATTCTTACAGAGATTATGTTTTCTTTCTAATTGTACATACACGTACACGTTTTAACGAGAACTTCTGTACTTCTAGGTGTTACATGTTTAAATAAAGGATTGATTGATTGATTGATTGATATGCTAATGAGAAAAATTATGCAAATTTATTGAGTTTTCATAAAAAGGTTAAAAAGTTCTCGCAGAGCTTCAAGTAAAATGAAATACTTGATAATTTACGCAGAGGTATTGTCTTTTCCTCTGATATATAAAACTTCTGGGTATTGCAATAGTTTATGAGAAATACGGAGGTTTTACTGGTCACCATTTGCTTACCGATCGTCCTACCGACCATAGTTAGTAGAGGGGGACAACGCTCTGGCGCCAAAACTATAAAACACTAAGTGCAAATCACCGATCGTCCTACCGACTTAAGATAATACTACAATTCATGATGATTGGTTACATTTCTCGGGTACTTTTGAAAGAAATTGCAAGAAAACCTTCCCAATTCTAACCTTCTCTGTACATAATTTGTTATGTTTCTACGGGATCACATCTGCCATAAAACCGTCCAAAAGTGCACATTTCATTGCCGTTCACGAAGACTGAGTGGTGCGATAAAACACAGGCTGCGACTTGTTTCTCCGATTTGGTGTTGTTGAAAAGGCCAATACTCTAATTCCCATTTTTATATTTAAATTGACCACAGTTATCATTTTCTGGACATAAAGATTACGACAGAACGGCCACAACTCAACCACAGGCAGCCGAAGCTCACTACTAGAAAAGCGGACGTGACTCTTAACGTGTTGCGCAACGTTTTATATTTATAAAGGTTTGTATGGGATGTTATCGGTTTGCCTTAAAAGAGAGAAAAAATGTCTTGTTTTGAAATAAAATGGGCTTACCTTATTGCTTTGTTGTTTTCTTTGTTGATTCCGAGCGTCTTAGGCCATTTTGAAGTGTCTTCGGCGAGTTAGCGCTATGTTGGTGTTCAACTACTAAAAGAAAGACAAGGCCGGAAACCTATTTTAGAAGTGTCCGTCGCCCGAAGCAAATAATTTCGCCAAAAAATTACCACCAGTCTCGATTCCTCCAGAAAATCAAAGCAGAGATGTTGCAGTTTCATTTCCATTCACTCGATTCCCAATTGCTCCCACAGATCTTTCACTAGCGATGCTTTTATCTCCAGATCGATCGGCTTTCCAATTTCGAATTTGGCTCCTTGAAGCATATGCGGTGCGTTGACCGATCGCACAGTATGTTGGGTAACAAAAATAAGCCCTGCGAGGGTAGCCAGCGACCTGCAGTCGACAAACAAACCAGTTAGCTCCCCTTGTCCCCTCGAGAGGTTTTGTCAAGACCGCATTGTTTTGATCGACCAATCAACATCGAATGGAAACGTTGCGCAACACGTTAAGAGTCACGTCCGCTTTTCTTGTAGTGAGCTTGGGCTGCCTGTGACTCAACCACAACTCTTTCACTATTCATCTGCTATATTTCCTTGTGCGCCTGCAATGAAAAACTGACCTGCGGTAATAAAATTGGCTGTGTAATCAACGGGAAGTGTTCTTTTGCTTGATGTGTTGATGGTTTGCTTTGATGCCATTTACAAATTTCGTATTTTTGCTTTGTCTGGCAGAGTGTAAGCTTTTTTAAATCTAATTTATAGCCTTATAAGGTGATATAAAGAGCTGTTCGTTGTATACAATAAGAGCCAAGACATCTTCCAATACCACATAACTTGGAAAGAAATAGATCTGAAAATTGGTTGCAGAGCCCCGTGTGCGAAGACGGAACGAAATTTAAGTCTAAAACAAAAAGTTTTCAAAAAAGTTTGTTGTTATTCTCATGAAGTGCCCTTGGAGAGCAGGCGTGATAACGGGCATTGGTAACAGGTATCGCCGCTCTAGCTGCGTATTAGCTCCGCCCCATCTTTTCCTCAACGGTTTGAAAGTTCCTTCTATAAGTTCACAACTTGAAAAACTTTCTCTCGCATGGACTCTCGTTCTCCTCTCTCAACAAGGGCATCGAACATATCTTCTTCTTCTAACACAGTCTTCTTGTTTAAAGAAAGCTCCCCACTCTTAGCGACCGATGCGAGACGTGAAAAGTATGATGTAACTTGTTGCACGCTGAGCCAGTCTGTAGAAGAAAATAATTTTACGCCATCTGGTCCACGAAGTGACTTCAAGTTTAAGGCAACAACGGCAGGGTCGCTCTTATTTCTTATCTCTTCTCCCTCAAGAAACCAAGTGACTTTGTGAAAATGAAATGATAATTTCAATCAGTCAAACAATCAATACTTTATTTACCCACGTAGCGTCAAGGACTCATAGAGCTCGTTCAAAATACGTACGTGCCTGTAAGATTAAGAATCTAAAAAACCTAATACATACTGTCAAACCCTAATTGATTAGAAATTAAAATAACTAACAATTAATATTAAAATTTAAGTTTGTACAGTAAAATTCAAAGTCACTTAATAATTTAATGAATATACCGTCGAACCTCCCGTAAACGGTCGCTCACAGGAATCAACAAACAGGGACCTCTTGCGAGAAGAGATCCCAACACGTATCCATTTGGAAGAACGAATTTCTGCGTGCGATTCCTACGTTTCGTATAAGTGTAGTTCCATGGCGGTTGTCACTAAAAAGATTCATTGCGTATAATCTGAGCAGCGTAGTACATACAGAGACAGACAAAGCCTCATGCATCATTTAGGATATGCCCACAGTCAGATCTACGATATGCCTGTAAAAATACCTCAAAATCTTCCTCTGGTTTTGTTATCACGGCTGTGACATGCCAAGAGAGGCCTTTCTTTCCAAACCACTCTCCTTGCGTTTCCGTATACTTCAAAGGAAGGAATTTCATAGCCCAATCCATGACGATTAAAGCTTGCTCTGGCGTCATATTGTTGAGGATATAATCTTTTGCTACGTCCTGATGTACTGCTCTTAAGATGTGGGCCTTCCAGTGCTCAATTTTGTCTAAAGCGTTACTAATGTCATGCTCTAGTTCCTCCTTTTCGTCTTCATATCTAAAAATTAAAATGAAAAAGCTGATGGTTTCCTTCTGTTATCAGAGGTGTAATTATATTTTCTTGAAGTTTTAGGACGACATCATTTGCTTGTCTTTGCACCGTACATTTTCCCTGATCTTTTGCTTAATGATGTAAACGCGGCATTGATTTCGAAGTTAAATAACTGTAGATATCAGTCACCTCAGCTAACCGTTTTCCAATTGCAAAAAAGGTGATAAAGATACGACAATTAGAAAACTTACTCTTCATGATTATGTAAGATTACATTATATATCTTCTCGTAATATCCTGTGAATAAATCTTTTTAAATGTGTAAAGTGAAGCGATTAGCGATAAATTGAACAATACAAAATATGTTTGACAATGAAAAACTGCGATAAAATATTATAAAGCATGACACGACGTTTCGACGTTTCCAGAACGTCATTATCAAGTAAACTAAAATAATAAAATCGAGCATATATATAATGAAGCGGTGAATAAATTACAAAACGTTAAATTCACCGCTTCATATATAATGAAGCGGTGAATAAATTACAAATTACGTCGGATATACGACGCGCCATCTGTTTCAACGCATTGCTGATCATCGATACTCTGCCATTGGTCGCCACCTGAGAGATGCCCATGGGAACATTGACTTACTCAATGAGAGCCAGTTTAGAATGCTTAAAAAATGCGGCACGAAATGGGATTGTCTTGTTTATGAAATGTTGTACATAAGAACAATAAGGCCCAATTTAAACACCCAGAGCGATTCCATTAGGGCTAAACTCTTTGTTTGACTTTTAACGTTTTGTAATTTATTCACCGCTTCATTATATATATGCTCGATTTTATTATTTTAGTTTACTTGATAATGACGTTCTGGAAACGTCGAAACGTCGTGTCATGCTTTATAATATTTTATCGCAGTTTTTCATTGTCAAATGTTTTACCAAATCTTTACTTATACAAAATATGTTAAGGGAGAAATATGTCTTCTTTCTTTGGTTTTAACTGCAGTTTAAATACCTGATTATTCTTTCCAAGTCGACGTAAACGACTTCTTATGAAGTAAGTTTAGATAATCGACGTTTTATCAGTAGTTTAGAAGGAAGAGGACTGAAGGAACATGGTATCAGTAATCGTTTACCTGAAGTGAAGGTCTCTTGATGACAATACCAGTTCTATTTCATCAAGAACATTCTGGATACTCTCGCAGCTTTGACATGATTTCGTGTGCTCATGCTCACAGTGATGATCTTCAGGGTCAGACAACGCAAATATCCGGCAATGATCAGCACACTGGCTTTCTTTAGTCGCGTGGATCTGGAAGTTTGTCTTAAGGTAGCTTTTACCAGCTTTCAAACGATCTTTAATTTCTTGAACCCAGGCTGAAATTTTACCTTTAAAAAGGCATACTAATGTTACCACTCATCTCTTCTTATTTACAACTATTTAAGATAAAGCCTCTCATACATGCTCAATTTCTTTAAGAGGCCAGGCGTTTTTTAAAATTGAACAAATACATGCTTTAAAAAAATGGTTCCGACAAACCTTAAAGAAGAAATAAAAAGTCAAAAAATTAAATCGGCCTAGGAGGCTGGGCGGTTTGAGTGTTAAAGGTGCACTGAAAATAGCATTACATAGAAACAAAATGGGAAGATACAGGCCTCTCGGGGACAAAACTTAGATTAATCTAAGCTAACCTAGCTTTCCTAGCTTGTTTACTACGTCTTCGAGTGTATCGAAGGCTTGCGATCCCTCTGTAGCGATGTTGTCAAGTCCTGCCAAAGATTTCTTTTGTGATGCTGCAAAAATCTATTCAATAATGACAATTTGTCATATTTTTCTCCTCGTGTTCATAATTCTCTGCTTTTCTCATTCAGAGCTTTTGCTCTTTAAAATCCACACCTTAATCTGCCTTAAGTAATTTTTAGTTAAGCAAGCCGGAGAAGTAGTTTAAACTGAGAAATATGATTCAATGAATATAATGATATCTTCGTGATATCTAAGCGAGATAACAGAATAAAAAAAACCCAAAAGTTTTCTTTCTTTTTTCGCTCTTCTTCTGATTTTGAATCATGATTGTTTTGATACGTGCCTGTAAAATACTGAAGAGGGTTGACCTCCCAAGTGAAAGGAAACCGGTTTCCTGACAGTACTGCTGGTATAAGTCCACAATCCTTGAAGCAATAACTGTCCTAACCACGTTTGGAATCTCCATCTTCTCTCCATTCGACAATTTTAGCGAATTTGTTCCGTACGTAACATCTTGCACGAAATTTGGTCTGCTGATAAAATATAGAAAATGGTCTACTCTGCTTGAATCCAGTCTTGCGAGTGTAATGCTCTCCATCTCTGCCACTGGCTTTCCAACCCCTACCTTAGCGGCATGCCTTCTTGCCTCATCTACAGCCCAAATGCTTAATTCAGGAATAAGCAGCTGAAGTTCTGCTTTAGTGTAATCGTTTACAAATACTGACAGGATTTGCCTTTTAGTGAACCAACTGTTGGCCTCTCCGTACAATTTAATCAGGCGCGATATTTCGCCAATATCAGCATCTGCGCTCTTTTGCCCCTCTTTTTCCTCCATATAATTCATCAACTCTGAAAGTAATTCTATGGCTTGCCTTGGAGCGAGGCAGTCCAGAGCCACTTTAACGATCTCTTTCCCTTTCTGTCTGTAATATCTCTGTGTGCTGGGTCAAGCTTCTTTCCAAGGTATGCTCAACTGATGAACCACTGGATCTACTCTACCACGAGCACAAGGAGCTGAGCGGATAAACTCATTCAACGCTTTCAGCCCAGATTTGACACATGGAGTAGAACACCATTCTTATGAAATGTCTTCTTCTGGCAATGACTCACCTAGAGGACTACCAGTGCTCACTTCATGTTCATTACACTCACCCTA